AACCAGTGACTGGTCTCTGGCGCCCATACATACATATGTGAATTTCTGTAACTTGAGTAGGCCAAATAACGATTATCATCTAAGCCTCGTAGCTACTCTTCCTTACCTCAGAATATTTTTCTGGAAGAAGTTCTGATCAGTGTTGTAATGCTTTTCGTAGTTTTTATGGTTCAAATACGGTAACAATTTGTTACTAACTCCGTTCGCAGGAGGACAATTTTGATCCTGCACAAAGACTGTAATTGGTCAGTGCAGGTCTCGACACGATATAGTGCTGAGGTGCGTCAGGGGGCGGTGCTTCAAACTACTACACTTATTGTCGCCTTCCCCGCCCTCCCGCTCCTCCCTCGTCAGATTATAGATTCGCATAGCATGCCTGAGTCCCCCCCCCCCCCCCGCCTCCCCGGCGCTACCATTACCGTGGTCCATTGTAATTCACTGACAATCGATGACTTCCAAGGAAAACAGGACCTCTAAAACTTCCGGGGCGCCTATTGGGCCGTTAGGGTGGGCCCCGCCCTACTGTCCCTGCCTTACCTAGCAGCTCCAATAGGAGTGTCCCCCCGGAAGTTTTAGAACTTTAGTTTTCCCGTAAGTCATTTGCGATCGTCTGAGTTTGATTTTCTGCTCCGCTTCCTTTCCATCGCTGGCATTTTCCTATCTTATCCGATATCCGGCATACACCTTTTGTCCATGCAGCCACGCCCGTTTTTGTCTTGCTCCCACCCCTTCTGTTCTTTGCCACCTATCCTTTGCAAGCCTATTGTTCAGCGTAAATTGCAGGTTTCAGTGCAATTTATCTGCAATGGTTGCACTTTTACTGGTTTCACATAGCAACGCTTACATCTCGATCCCATCGTAAATCCACATTTACATTATGGAAATGTGCGTTTATTCCTGTGTGGAGACATACGTTCGTAATATGTCATTATTTTTCTTTTCGATTGTGTATGGCAGAAAATTTTTCTCAAAAGGATGAAGGGGGGATAGAAGAAGTGTTTCGGCAAGCTCAAATCTTAGCTTTTTGATGGTACTTTGAGGTGATTAAGCGCTTTACACTCCAAAATTTATCCTCGTCTGAATGAGTAATGGTACAAATTAAGCTTTTGACAAAAGGGTCGTAAAATTTCTCTTAGAATAATCCATCAAGTTGCATTCCAACAAATCTACACACAAACTTAGCTGATGCTTTCTTGAAATTTTTGAATTAAAAAACGCACTTCATATGCTTTTTAAAAAAATTCCTATTGTCTCATACCAGCAACTTGTTCAAGAAATCATCATTAGTCAAGGTAAGGCTGTGCGAATTAAGCCCCCCCCCCTGAGAATTGGTGCTGAAATTTGAAAGTCGCCTACATAATAAAATTAAGTGATTTGTTTTTACTTATAATTTTTTCTGATTTTTGAAAATCCAAATCAGCATTGTAAACTCTAATTCCCACCTGCAGTACGAAAACTGATTTTGTACGGTAATTTTTATTTGACATATGTACGTTTGAGGCTGGAGTTTTGAAAAAATTAGGTCGCGATTTTTTTGGTGAATTTTTTCGTAACATTTTTTTCGCTGCTGTCTACCTATCGTACTTTGGACCACTCAAGTGCGAAAAATGTGGCACTCACAGGCTGCCAGGTAGCTCTCCGTATTCTGAACGACTTTGGTGAACGTTACCGTACACCTACCGGAACTCCCTACAGAGACTTCGCCATGACTATGAACTTGTTCGACATGATATGTACAAAAGTGAACAAGTATGCTTGCACGCACAACTCGTCCGCCTTTCTCCGCGCTGCCTGAAGCTTTTGACCAATCACAGTCGACTTACTGACCAATCATAGCAAGAGGTTCAAAGAGACCGCTGAACTAAGTATTTTCTCAAGTTCTCTCAAATGTTTCGGCAATTTTTCAATTTTTGACCCGGTTTTACACAGAAACGCTGGTTGTTTTACTTCCAATTAGTTGCAAAGTTTTTTTTCCTCCGCAAAGGTCATTTGTACACGCATTAATGTAATGAGCCCTAATTCTGTCCGTTTCTATACTAATCAACTGGGTTCATCACTTTGCAGCAGCAAAAAACCTTTTCCGCGCACAAATCGTATTACGGCCATTACTTCTGATTACTCATTCGTTGAATGTCGGCTTTAACGGGGTGTTCCTGCGCGGATTAGCGCCGATGACAGCTGATTTGCCCTTCATTTATTTCGTCTGCACTCGCACAGCGCAGAAAGCTGCCTTCTGTTTGATTTGTCATTAGTTTGAAGAGCTCATATGAGTGATTAGCTGTCACTGATAGCGCGCTATCGCTTGAGGATTTCAAACTTTTTGTTTGCTTTCAGGAATTCCAGCCAATTGCCAAGCTGTCAATGTGCGTACACAATAATTTCAAATGAAAGCTAATGTAGAAGTTTTGGAACATTCTGGAAAATAAAAATCAGATATACTCAGACAACTCACCGAAACTTCCGGAGGACAGGCAAAATCTGCAGTGGTTCCGCAGGATTTTGCTTACTTTTACGAGAGTGGAAACGTTAAAAAGGGCAACTTCCGCAGGATTTTCACGCCAGAGTTGTTGAAAACAGAAACTTTCCCAAACGTTCTGCGGAAGTTCCGATCAGTTGTCTGAGTAGTACAGTGCGGAACTTTCACAAACTGCTGCGAAACTTTCCCAACCTGCCGCGAAACCTGAGGAACTTCCCCAAACTTTCACAGTAGTTGCGAAACTCTTTCAAGCTGGTGCGAAAGTTGCGAAGAAGGCGGAACTTTCCTAGATTGTTTCGAAAGTTGCGGAACATTCCCAGATGTTATGTGGGAGTTGTCAAATATTTCCAAATCTTAGTCGCAGAGCTTCCCCAAAGTGCTGCGGAAATTTCGAAACTTTCCCAAGCATTCTGCGGTGCGCAGTTCTTACCGGTTTAGAACGAGATATCTAGTTTTTTACGATACCGATGTTTTTACGAAATTCAGAGTTTTGCTTTTGTGTGTCATAAATACAATATCACTCTCAGAATGTGCGAATTCCGTGAATGTCGCGGAATTCCGGAAATTCCGCGAAAGTCCGCCGGTTTTCGCGACATTCGCGGAAATTTTGCACATTCTGAGAGTGGTATTGTAGGAGTGTTTGAGATGGAGTTTGTAATTGTCATTTTCCGGTTCCCGTTTTCCTGAACAAATGTGAATCAACGTCATAGTCTTTACTAAAATCGAAAATCAGTAATTCACCTTCTTGAGTGTGGATCCTTGATTTTCGATTTCCCGCTTTCCCCGTCCCTAAAATTTATGGCCGAGAACGTGAAATAGAGAAAACTTGTTATATGATTTCTGTATTCTTCTACATAATAAATTCACTACAGTGGCGACTTAATTGTCAAAATTCCCTTCTTCTTGTTCCTTCATGCATTCACTCCCGTTTTCATCTCTTCTCTCACTTAGAAATTTCTATAGACTAGTGAGCCAGTAATTAAAGTTGCTAAATTTGCAAGAAATCATATTCGCGCGCTTCGGGACCGCACCGCGGTTTCCCACTGTCTGATTTTTATTGGCCTTGTGGTGGTTGTAGGCTTTATTGTAGCCTTAGGCGGATGGGTGGCGCCTGCAGTGGAGTATGGTGGCTCCTTGTGTGTTATTAGAACACGTAAGCTATTGGAGCTTTATTTGACAGACGACATGCATCCATTCGTGCAGTGGTAGAATGCTGGTGAATACAGGTGTGGCGAAGTAATGCAACGTAAGTCGGGGCGATAAGGTACTCATATCACAGCAGGTCATGCTTATGGCATGACCTTCGGTGCTCAGGCAGGATTAATGATATGGTTGTAAGGAAGGTGCCGACAAGTCGGTACAGGCCTTATGATTCTTTATACATTAAAGTGCACGAGAAATGAAGTTGAAACTTAAATCTAAAAAATTCGACAGGAACAGGCTCGATGTAAAAACGATTGTCCGATCCTTGCCACCTTCCAATGTCTTACCGATAGTTTGCTTACAAGGGAATGGTCAGAAATCGAAGTGGCCAATCCAGACAAGCTGCATACCATTAGATGCGCCATAAAACGCTGATTTTAAATCTGTCTTCATTATCTGCTTATCGCTTTTCTGAACGAAGCTATAAGCCATTAAAGACCATTATTTTGCTAAGAAATTATGCGTGAAATTGAAAATTTAGCCGGACAGAGCCGCGTTCGCCTTAATGCTGGGCCAAAACATGCAGCTAGCTTACATCAAATTTTCAAAGCCAGAAGCTGAGCTAAAAGTGCAACAATGCGCTCAATTTTGCTGTTTTTATGTATGATTTTTCACAATAAAACCGCTTGTAGCTTCGTCCACAGAAGCGAGAAGCAGATAGGGAAGACATATTTGAAGTCAGCGTTTTATACTGCATCGAATAATATACAGCTTGTTTAGTTTGGCCACTTCGACTTCTGACCATTCCCTTGTTAGTATGTGGCCTTGGTAAAATCTTCAACGGAGCACGACAAAAGGGACGAGCATGCTAATTGTAAGCAACTCGATGGGCTGCCCACTCCTGCGTCACGTCACTATATCGTGTCAAGACCTATACTGACCAATGCCAATAACCCCTGTTTTTGACGCCAAGAACGCTAGAGGCGGGGCTTCTGTCTTGAGCGCAAGATCTGAAATTCTTGCTTTTTGCACCATACAAAAATTTGTCCTGTAACCACCCTCAAACTTCAAAGTCCTGCAAGTACCCTTGGTCCCGTGTAGAATTCTTCGTAACTTGTACTATATGAATGTGGCGAAATTCTCACATGGACTCGTTAGCTTTTTGCATAAGACATCAAACTCTTCGAATGCATCGAAGAGACAGCTAGAGATCGTATCTCCATTCCTCCACCCTTTGCACGGCTGGGTTGCTTTTCGAAGCATCTGCATGGAATCTCGAATAGCTGTCCATTTACGCTATTTATGTGTTCGCTTCGTGCTATGAATTCGAAATTTTTCTGGAGATTAAAGTGCTGTCATAATCGATCAAATGTCATTTGCAGACGAGTTTTCGGATGCGTCGTCGTCGACGATAGCATCAGCAGCCCGGCAGCACCAATGAATCGCACATTTTCTATGCGAAAGAAATTGAAAAAGTCAGAAATCTCGACACCATCGAATTTTGAGCATCGAATACATGCTGGATATGATGCTAGGACAGGGATGTACACTGGACTGCCAAAGGTAAATTTAATTTTTTTTCTAACTCCAGCGTTTTCTGGAAGAAGTTCCTGAATTTTGAATCCATGAATATTTTCCGGTTTCATGCTGTGAAATTCCAATTTCTTTACTTCTGACTATTCTTTCTCTCGAAAGCAAAAGATTTTTGCAAATGACTATGTGCATTTGGAATGGCGAAAGAGAAGTTAAGCTTGATTTTTAAATTTTCTTCTGGAGGAAGTTTCTGAATTTGAATTCAGTTTCCGGATTCATGCTGTGAAATTCCAATTTCTCCACTTTATAACTTTTCTCGTGTTTAAAAGCTGATTTTTGCAAATGAGAATTGCACGAATGGCAAAAGAGGATTTGAGTTTGTATTTTATAAATTTTTTGTCATTTTCATGTTCACTAACTCTCTGAATTTTGGTTTAAAGTTTGCGTTTTCAAGCTGTGAAATTTTAATTTCTTATTTGCTTTTCGCTTTTCTTTCTAATCAAAATTTTTTTTGCAGTTTGGGGAAGGGGGTATGCCTTTGGTTCTGCCAGGAGTGGAGTGTTGACCTTGTTTTTTTTGAGTGTTTTCTGTTGTTGTTATTCTCTGTCCAATAATTTTCTGAGCATTGGCTTTGCAAATCTTCCGGTTTCACACTGTGAAAAATCCTTTCTCACTTTTCAGTTTCTTTCTCTCCCAGAAAAAAAAAGATTTTTGCAAACAGAACTTTAAATTGCCAATGTGGTTTCAAGCTCTCGTTTTTTTTTTTCAATATTTTATCTTCTTCTTGGCACTATAATTTTGAATTTTGGTTCAATTTTCCTCTGAAGCTTCTATTTTGTTTTTCGATTATTTATTTTGTTGAAAAAAAAACTTCCTTGCCAGCTTAGCTCAGTTGCTGAATGTAAATTTTTTCCAAATTCCAACTTCGGTTACCAGTAACTTCCTGATTCTTTTTTGCAAGCTTTCCTCTAGCGGTGTTTGATTTTTTTTACTTCTTAATTCTTCCAGCTACAAAAAGATACTGCGAACGAGATATACACTAATTGTCAAATTCATGTTTTTTATTTTACTTTTTGTAATGTTTTTTTTGAATTAGATTTTATACGGATTTTTTGGTGTTGCGCTTTGCAATTTTTCCCTTTTCAGGTTAGTAAGTTTTTCCATTGCTGCTTTTTTCTGCCCTCTGATGATTTGTTCTGCTTTGTACGTTGCACTTTTTCCAATGAATCTGTTTCATGAACAGTTGACCTCTTTATGCTTTTTTCAATTTTCGCTTCTCCTTGTTCTTTATCTGCTCGAGCAAAACTCATAATTTTTCGCTATATTTTCAGCAGCTATCAAGCTGCCAAAAAACTACTTTTGAATCTTTTTTTTTGTAAAAACTGATGTTTTTTTTAATCGTTAAGCGATGCTAATTTTCATCGAAGGCATCACCCTGGTGGCTGTCGGCGGATTCTTCATTGCCTATAAAACTGAGCTGAAAACTTTTACGTTCTGTTCTCTTGTTTGTTTATTTGTTTACTTCACGTCTTCTACTTCAACAAATAATTGTTGCCAACGTAACGATGAATGTCGATGGTTTCCTCTTTTATAGCAAGAATGAAACTGGAATTTTTTTGCTGTAAACTCTTGAGTTGAAAATTATGGACAAAATTCTTTTCTTTTGTTTTCTCTGCTCAGGTTTACATCTTACGGGTGATTTTCACGGTGAAGTTCCTGACTGGTGATCTTGTTAGTTTTTTTCACCCTGTGATTCTGAAATTCAAACAACTTTTTCCTTACCGTACCATAGTCAAAGTCCGTGATTACGATCATTGATGCATTCTGACGCGTCTGTTAGTTATGCATGAACTTCTAGAATATGTAAAGAATTGCTCACCTTTTACACGCAAATCATTTTATCGGTGAATTCATTAGTAGGGCAATATTTATTAGGAGTCCCGACGGGTTTACTTGCATTCGCCAAATCTCTGTAGTTCCGAAAAATCTAGGCAGCACTTCTTTTTCCTCCCTTTATTTGTTCATCGTTGGGAGGGGAACAAATTTAGGGACCTTTCTTTGATTATTCACTGACTTTTTCTAAATTGGGTATATTGCCTGTCTACTCTCCCGCTCGATTTGTACCCTTGAAAGAGCATATCACTCTTTTTCTCTGAAAAATGAGCTGTGAAAATTTGGATAAATTTAATAGAATAAGAAGTCTTCCCAGGTTAGCACGCTGATTTTGAATATGAAATTTGCATTTTGCAATATGCTAGTGAATGTAACCAAAGCAATTTGTTTATTTTTTGTAATTTCAATTTTGATAAGCGATGTTTGAGACAGACCCGCGACAATTTCGTAGTATTCTGTATTTTTGGTATTCTTGTTTCAATAATTGAGGAATGCTTTTTTTTTGAAATTTCTGTCACATCCGGTCATCATCGTAATTGTTCTTCCGACGTTTTTTCATGCTGTTCAGTGGTGAGCCAAACAGGCGGGGGGGGGGGGGGGGAGGGAGGCGAAATTCTCAAAAGTGATGTACATGAACATTGAAATAGTGCTCTTGACTTGTTTCTCTCTGTAAATAATAGGGGTTAGTTTCTAAAATTTCAAGAGAATTTTTTATGGAATTGCGTTGATAACAGCTGTTAAATAAAAATCAGTTAGTTTGAAAATTTGGATAGGCAACTTTTGAGTTGATATCTATTATCTATACTTCGTTTCCATTATCATTTGAATTTTAAGTTAGATTTGTCTTCTTTGCAAATGAAAATGGAAGAAAAGAATAAAAAACAGTGAGGAAACAAACTAGTAATTAGAAATTCACTTGTATCTAGATATTCTTCCATTTTTATCTGAATTTTAGTGACTTTCTTTTATAAATTCCCATATTTTCCTCTCATGATTCTGGTCCTTCGATTGTCGATTTAGAAACCAGTCCGGAGGTGTCAAATGATTGATATCATTGTCAAATGGGCATCGGCCGAAACATGATGGTCATTACAACGGCGGTGTTGTCACCGAAGCTATCACACATCGGGCGGAGGGGGGTGGGGGGGGGGGGAGGAGGGGTGAGCCTTTAGAATTTTAGCGGGGCAGTTTTCTAGAAATAACCGAAATAATTCCCCCCTCCCTTGGTTTGCAAATCGAGAGCATACTTGAGACTCGCGTATGGTTTTATATGATACAGTACATAATGTAAACAAACACACTCAACGAGCAGAAAAATTTTGTACTGTTTGGAGAAGGTCAATAGAATGGGATCGGCTGAAAAACAATCTGGCACTGATTTGCTTCACTTTTATCGAATACATCTTCTATCATAAAACATTTGTTTACATTTTGCGAACGTGAACACGAAGTCTGGGGAATTTTTGTGGATGAAAAGGGGCTAGACTTGCTAGATCTGATCTGGGGGAGGTAGTACCAGATGGTTACTGGAGGTTTAGAAAAATTAGTACAAGGATTAGGGTATTTTTTCTGCGAAAATCCAGTTTCCACTCTAGTTCACCTCTATAGCGTTTCTCTTTTCTTTCGTTGGAAATTTCAGCTTTTAAGACAAATAGGAGTACGACAGAAGTGAAAGATTCCCTCAACTAAATAATTATGAGAGGGACAAATCTTATATATAAAGCTGAATGTCTGTTTGTATGTCTGTATGTCTGTCTGTCTGTACGTATGTTCCGAATAGAAAATTCCATTTTTGAACCGATCCGGACCAAACTTGGCACACATACTCTTCGGGCCCCGGCGGGTGTCATAGGCTACTTTTCGTCATCGATCGATATCGATTTTATCGATTTTTTGCAAAATTTGAGCTACGGGGCTGGGAGTTGGCACAGGGGTTGATAATGACAGGGCCGGGCGGAGCCGGGTAAGTCAACTAGTAATATATATGAGAAGAATGCTAGTAATTCTCTAGTCACAGTGATTGCTTCATCCTCTATCAAACTCAGCAAGGCTCTTACTTCCTATCATTGGGTTAGTTCAAGAGATTTTCTGGGCAATTTTTCGCTGAAACCGATGATATCCTTCTATAGAAAATCGATTGTTTGAACATCCGCATTTATGAGTTGGAATATAAGTCTTGCATTAAAATTTTTCAACTTGTAATCTTCTCCAGGTTGAAGTAATCTGTTTAAAATAGTGTAATTAGAAAAGAGGAAACCTTACTTTATCAAAATATTCTCGAAGCAAGCATGATCATTGTCATGTCCCGGCAATAGAACGTGCTAAATGAAATCACTCTGCATTTTTCCAACTTCAAATCACCAAAAATACTGAAACGCACAGGAATTTCTAAGTCTGCCTTTATTCCAGTTTTGTAATTTATGCCTTTCAACTAAAATAAATTTGTGCTAGGACGTCTTTACAAGAAGTTGTAATTTTCAAATTTTTATTCTCGAGTTTTGATATTGTTTGACATAACTTTAATGTATACGGTAAAATACTGCATAAATCATACACGATGAAAAAAAGATATTTACAGATTAAAAATGCTCTGAGCATTTTTGCATGAGTTTTTTGGAATTTTTGGTGCAAGACTTATATTCCAACCTAGATACCCCCGGCTTTTTTCTTTCAATAGACGTCTTGGCTTTTATTAATAGCTTCTTCTTTTTTTACACTTTTTGAAGGATAGTGGAGAGAATAAAGCTCATTTTATACAATGTTTTTAATTCTACCTGCATGGAGGATTTTCCTCATTAAGCGATGCGGAGCTGAATTGTGGAACTATAAGGCAAAAATACACCAATACAAAAAAGTGAAGTAGTTTTATTACTAAAGAGTTATTTTGCTATGTTTTGGTACCTTCCACGCACTCCGAAAAATTCTTAGGGGTGCTTCTCAAGGTTTTTGCGGGTCCCCAACCCCTAAAATCTGGAAAAAGGGTTCGTGGCGTCAGCTACGCCCCCGAAAAAAATTTTTTACAGGGCTAATTTGAATTTTTAAAAACTTTTAAAAATTATTTTGATTATTTACAAGTATAAACAAGTCATTTGTACATTTTTATAACCCTTATAAAAAACTTCCAAAAATTTTGCGACCCGTTCTCGGGGGGGGGGGGGGGAGCGCCCCCTCCCCTTCATAGTAATGTTGTTTCATATATTGGCTGAAAAAGCCTGTGTAAATAATTCTATTACTTCAAAATTTTCTCAAAATTTTCCGGTTTCATTGGAGCTGTATGATATCCACGGGAGGCCTGCTAATCGTTTTAGGTCTACCACTTTAGGTCAATATTGATAGAATTTTATGGGAAGTCAGTGTAAACTGGAAAACTGGAGGAATTATGCAATTATATCTGTCATTCTTGATAGTACGCTAATACCACTCTCATCATCTGCGTCTCTTGTGATGGCATTGTTTCTCTGCGGACTTGTGTGGAAGTCTGCAGTGCGTCCGTTCCCGTTGTCTCATCTCAGATATCACAATGAATTCGTTTTCTGAAAATTTCTGATCCTTTATTGGAATTTACGTTCGTTTTGCAATTTTCTTGTAAAATAGCTTCTTGACTGAACCCTGCTGTGAGTGTTGACGCCCCTCACAATTTTTCCGAACTGAAAATTTGTCTTGATGGCGGCGATGTTTACAGAACGACGACCATCGTGTGTTTGTCGATGTCATTATAAGATCATTCATAGCCTTTTGTTTAAAGTGTTGCTTAGGAGAGCAAATAGGATGATAAACCAAAGGTGAAGCAGAGGTTCTTGCAATTGTCTCGCTTTTTCAGTTTTATGGGAATGAGTGGTTCGAGTTTCGTTTTGTTACCGTACCTGTGGGAATGTGAAACTTCTTGTAAAACAATGAAAATTGTTTGTGACACATCATTTGTTGGGAACTAATAGAAAATACATTTCATTAGGAATCCTTTCTTCAGAGTATAAGTCATCAAATAATGACAAGGAATTTTGATTTTTACATTTCATTGACTATGAACTATCACCTAAAGGAGCTTTTTGGAAAAGCGTTCGCTTCGGAACCCACCGCGGTTTCCCGCTGTTGGAAGTTTTTTAAATTGAGCTAACGATCCTTTATATATTAGACTTTATATATTATAATTAAATAACTAGAAATCTTGCCCGTTGATGACACATGCGCTATTTCCAAATAACCTCTCAATTATCATACTTTTCTAAAATATGACTATTTCGAAGTAATTAAGCTTGGAGGTCTTTCCAAAATGTTCTTTGCCATATCAGCATGAATTTCTGAAGTTCTAGTTTATTACAATATAATTTTATATAGCAAAATAAATTTTAATGGTTGAAATTCTTAGAAATTCTATGAGAACTTTGTTGTGGGCAAGTCCTAAAGACAATTAAATAAAAGGTGAAAATATTTATCACTCAGTCCCCCCCCCCGTGTTCCCTCGATCTTCTTCAGCAGTAATGCTTAGCTTTGACTTCGGCGACAAAACATATTCCAGGATTTCTTTCGACCCCTTTGATTCCTTGTCAGTTTTTTATGCCAGGAGAAACTCTATAGTAAAGCCATTACTTTATTGGTCCCAGCTGTTGGCATATCCCTTCGTGACTTTTTTCAAGTCCAGCTGCACGCAGTTCAAGCAAAAACAGAAGTCGGAAACGGCTTTGCAGCAAAACTCGATGTGACCACTTGCAGTAACAGATGCATTGGTCTTTTTGCGTTGTTTTTTTTTCAGACATTCAAATGTCGGGGGCAATGAAGTGTGCTAAAGATTTACGCATTTGCGTGTAGCATTGTAAACCTAATAAGAAGTTTATGGTAATGTTCCATTCCAGCAGTGGCAAGCACTTCTCGGGCCTCCACGGGCACTTAACGGACGACCGAAACCGATTGTGGATCCGTCCTGTATTACTCCGGTGGACATAGCTGAGCTGAAAACTGTGATCAGAGGTCCTGGATCGAGGTGAGTATACTGTATACTTCATCGTGTGTAAATAGGAATAGTTCACGTCTTCAAAATACAATTCAACAAATTTGTGTATCTTCCCCCATGATATCTATGGACAAAGATAGGCAAGGTCAAAAACTAGCAGGAATGGTGTGTTTGAATGGCCTGGCACGGTTAACACCGAGCCATTTGCAGGCCTATAAGGAAGTGAAAGTGAAAAAGCTAGACTATAATCGGATTGTTCAACTCAGACAGCTGACCGGAACTTTCGCAGAACGTCTGGGAAAGTTTCGTTTGAAAAAGTTCCTGCTCCCAGCGCACGTTCCGTAGACGTGCTGCGGAAGTTCCGAAGAATGCGAATCACAACTGTAAAAGGGAACACGTAAGCAAAATCAGAACCTTGCTTCATTGACTGTGAGACAGGTCAGGTTAGGTCAAATTGCTGCGGAACCACTGGCATTTTTCGGAGTTTCCGCAGAGCTTTGTAAAAAGTCCTGCGGAAGTTCCGTTTTCAGCCGGTTTGACGTGAAAGTCCTGCGAAAGTTCCCACTTATAACGTTACTTCTTTTGTAATAGTAAACAAAGTTCTGCGGAATCGCTGCAAATTTGGCTTGCCTTGCGGAAGTTCCGGTGAACTGTCTGAGCGGAAGAAATTTGAAACCTGTATTGGCTTACTTTTACTTCTCAGAATGTCTATCTCAGATTTGAAGAAAGTGGAGTTTGGAAATTATTCCAATTTTTCTTCCATTTTGTCATGGAAGCCGGTTCCAGAAGGAATGATTTACAACTGGAACGGCTTGCTAGGTTATCCTTATGTCTAAGTCATTGTAAAGATCCCAGAACCTTCCGTGATTATCTACTTAGCATTTTTCGTCTCATTTTCTACATTTTCGATGGCTATGCTCTTGTTACAGAATTCAGGGAAAGTTCTGAAACAATGGTTTTCCTAATTGGAATTTGGATACGCTCTTGATGAATTTATTCATGAATTTGGCCCGAAACTCATGGACAACCTAATGACCACAGAATAGAGTATGCATTAGGTTCACCATAAGTTTTGGACCAAAACTTTGAAAAATCGTGATTTTCTAATCTTCACAACTTCTTTTTAAATTGAAGTTATGATCATGCGCTATCAGCAATAGACGAAGAAAAAATAGTACGGCTGTACAGATTGATACAGGAAAACACTTAAATTCCTTTTGAATTTTTACTCCTAAAAAGCTGTCTGGCGCAATAAAACTAATCTTAGTTTTCTATAGTTTTACAATCTATTCTTTTATGACTGAGTATAGTTCGTGCTGGTTGGTGTTCTACTACGATAGGTCATAACTTTTGAGTTTTTTTCTCAAGATTTTATTGCTTCAAACAAAATCTTATTATGTATGGTAAGTAGGAAACATGGTCACAAAAAATTTGAAGTAGTCATTCAGCTATAGTCTATTATTATTGGGTCATAGCGTTTGCTACAAAAGAAATAAATTTTTATAACTTCGTCGAAATATTTCTTTTAATCCTCAAGTTCAGTAAATGGTTGTATCTTTTCAATATATACATGTCGCATATGAAAAACCAAATCTCTAAAGCTTTTAAAAAATTTTCTAAATTATTTTTGGCAAATTTACAAAACTTGCGTTATTTAAGAGCCTAGACTTCCAAACTGCTTTCAAATTAGTACTTATGTCCCCAGAATTCCATAAAAAATCTGAGAGCCAAAAAAGTACGAGAAAGAATTTTTGAAGGATAAAGAAAAAATAGAGATTTGAGGGCCGTCACAAGATTGCCTTTATTTTTCTAAAATCCATATCTGTAAAGGTGGGAATAACGCCAATAGATTGTTATTTGTCCATTCCTCATATGTGGTAAATAAATAAATAATAAAAAATAAATAAATAAATATTAGACTTTGCTAAAGTTTCTAGAGTTTTCTAGAGAAATGAAAAAAATGTCACAAAACTTATGTTACGACCCAATATATTAATATTATTATTTTGCAATGTTCAGTCTCTTGAACATATGACCTGAAAGCTCTTATGAAGTATTAATTGTAAGAACATTTACTTGTTTTCGAAAATATCAAAAGCAGCTTTCATGCCAATGCTTTCGCTTTTTTTCAAACTAAACCATCTAGCCTGAATCATTTTGATAAGAAGATTTGACACACTGTTAGTTTTTCTGCTAATCTATAGGTTTTTCGTCTCCTCTACGCTGAAAGTTTTTTAGTTCTGAATCGTCCTCTGTTTCGCTATTCTTCACGTATCAAAATATTGATAGAGTTTTTCTTTAAGTACACATCATGGAGTAAAAGCAGACACTATAAAATGTCTCTTTTAGCTGATTCTACACTTTTGACTTGTGAATTTTATATCTGGTACTCTGGAGTTTCATGTAAATTTCTTATCAGTTTACCTGTCAGATTTCACGTATTCTGACTTCTCGGTTTCTTGACCCAGATTTGGCGGCAATTATCATGTGATTATATTTTTCAAAGACATGACGACGTAAAATAGGAACTAAGAAAGATAATGGACTAAGAAGTCACTTATAATACGCATTATTGCTCAAAAAATGGACTTTTGTACCGCTAAGATTGTTGATGTAACATTTGTTTTTCTTTTAATTCCCTAATTCGGTGAACATTCCAGAATGAATACTCCCATACCACGTGGTGTCACCGTCGCCCGAAGTAATAGTCTTCGTGTACCGACTACGATGAAAGTTGCTGCAAGTATAAGCAATGGACCATTGGCTTCATCCACTCCGTGGTAAGTCTTAACTTAATTTGTACCATGCGGCTGATATAGTGAAACTACAGTGCTGACAACATCTGCGCGTAAAATGACCATGGCGCGCAGACAAAAAATGGCAATTTTTCGCGCGTTACTCCGCGTGCGCGAGTTCGAGATATCAAAGCCAAGTCTTCGAAATTTTGAAAAATGTTAGATCTTGTGGGTTAGTCAGACTAAAGGATGGTTTACAGTACGTTTAAATGGTGCCGACAGCATTTGCGCGTAAACTAAGGCCATGGCACCCATAACGCGAAGATGTGCTCTGTTTGACCATTTTTAACGGCTAAATGTTGTTAGCACCGTGTGTATGAGTTCGCAAGTTTTTTTTTTTGCTTGAAAAATAAACACGACAGTAGAATTTACATCAGATATATTATGTGGCTTGACTTCAAACCTTTCATTTCGATGACGAGTGATTCCTCGTTACCTACCCTAGATCTAGTAATCTTGTTGATTTAACGGTATTTGATACGGTGATTATAGTGTATTTGCGGTGCCGACAACACTTGCGCGTAATAATTATTCATAGTTTGCAACTTGAGAGTGTGCTTTTTGTGATGATGTTTACGCGTAAACTTTCTTTGTGCTGTAAGCAAGGCAATTTTTGCCGCGCAAATGTTGTCCTCCGTAGTGCGTCCACACTGAAAGAGCCACACTTCATTGTCAATTAACACGAAATTTCTCAGCTACGAAACATATTTGATACTAGGAAGCAGCTCTACTATAAATTCAAATGCTTATTAATTTGACGATCAATGTAGTGCCGTTGCGGTGTTGACAACATCTGCGCGTAAAAAATTTGTCATGGCGCGCAACGCTTGAAATTGTGTGCCCCATACTATTTTTTACGCACGGTTCTTGTCAGCGGCGCAAGAACACCATTTCAGCCAAGTTTAATGTACCATTCATGGAACTTCGCTTATCAAAGACTATTTTAGCCCATCCAGCACCTCAATACGACCACCTTCAGTGCAACCTGCTTCACGAAGTCGAGGATATCCCTTCAATGATCCCAACTATGCACCACTTCCGATTAGGCCACCGACGGTGACCACATTCGGGTGTGATAAGGTATGCAGCTATTTACGTAGGCAATACTATTCGCCGGTAGGCTCCGCCCACAGGGACACTTGACGCAGATCATGCATTTTAGAAGCTTACAGCTCATATCAGTTGCCCAGTACAAAGTTTTCTATCCACTGTTGTTGTTAACATTCTAGTTTGATATTATTCCAGAACCTTTTTGTGGAACTAACAAGAGCACAATAGCAAGAACTAATAGTCTTATCTAAAGCTGAATTTTGATTTGTGACTCGGAGAAGGAAGTGAACACAAAATAACATTGAATGAAGAAATCCAATTTTCGCATAATCTCAGTCAATTCGCTTCAGTTTCTTGCTCTGATAATGTCCTTATAGATGTTTATTTATTTTTTGTAGACTGACGTCCCATACAGCCAACAAAGCACGGCTCGAGTAATGTCTCCGATGCATTCGGAAAATATCACACCACCTCGATATGATGGTGTGAAAGCAATTACCGTACATCGACATACAAATGGAGCAGCATATAATGCACATTCTGGAGTGGTCAGTGTTTTTATATTCAATTAGTCAGTTGTCATCAAATAGCTTTTCCGGATTTCAGTGAAAAAGATGTTTTTTTTTTCACAAAATTTGTCGAATCTAGATTCTACAAGAGTTTTGTTTGGTAAAATGCGTTTAGAGTTGCGCCGCCTGCCGTGCCAGTGCCGTGTCTGAGCGCAGATCGATCAATACGAGGCGTGTCCATGCGGGCTGGCACGACGACGGCACGCAGACGGCTCTAGACGCAGTTTTAGAGGCACAGATACTTGTAAATTTGACTTGTTGAACCTGTAATTTTCGCTTAATCTAAAATGCCGAATTTATATAAGTTTTTTATCAATTTATCAAATTTGTTCAGTAGGTTGCGTCCAGAGTTACCCGTGCTAGCATCGTGCGCAAGCTTCGATCGATCAATACAGGGCGCGTCTACGTTGGCATTGGCACGGTGCTGGCACAGGAGCGAGTCTAGACATATCTATAAGGCACAAATACTTCGATCAGCATTTGAATATATAGTTTCTGCGTTTGGGTTTAATTCACTAACATCTTTCTATTTTTCAATTTTTGCTAGATTTACTGTTTGCGTTTCAGATTTCACCCACTACAAATCTACCAACTCCGGTTACTTCCCCACAAAAGACCACAGATAATGGTGTTGATTACGAGGAGGTAAGGTTTCTATTTTCTTTATTTTTGTTCTGATTATTTTTTGAATTTTTATTTAGTTCCGCGCCGCTCTCTCGAGTGTCGTTGACCAATCAGATCCACGGGTAGATCTTACCGATTTTAAGCTGATCGGTGAAGGTTCAACGGGTATTGTCTTATCGGCTTATAAGGTAAGCTTTTTGCATTTTTAACTTTTTTTTCAGTCTGAAGATTTTCATTCAGGTTTCATTCAAACAAACTGTGGCTGTAAAACGAATGAATTTGAGGAAACAGCAGCGACGAGAACTGCTTTTTAACGAGGTAAGGGGGAGTTTTTTCTTTTTTTTTGTCTGTTTTTTTACTGTCATTCATATTTATTCCTCTTTATGTCATGATAGGACAAATCACGACACATTATCGTATCTGCACATCTTAAAGCTCTGCTATTGGACTTTCACCCCTCCCCCCTCCTCTATGACGTCATTACCCTAATCTTAAACCCCTATTCGTACAGGTATCAATAATGCGGGATTATCAGCACGCGAACATAGTCCGAATGTTTTCGTCACATCTTGTCGCTGATGAACTATGGGTAGTCATGGAATATATGGAAGGAGGTTCTTTGACCGATATCGTGACGCAAACCAGGTATGTGGGAATGTATCCTCGGGTTACATAATTTATGTAAGCCTGCACACTATGCGCGACAATTGACGACATCCCTACTAGCAAGTTATCAGTAAAAGCACTGTGAAGCGTAGCAAAAGTAAAAAAATTGTGGCTGCGAAGAACATGTACCCAAGCAAATCGAAGGAGACAGGGAACAAAGGAAAGTTACTAGAGAAGAGCAGGTGCAACCTTACAAGGCGTCAAGTGGCGCGCATAGTGTGCAACACGCATACTAAGTTTATGACTCGACGATATGTGAATGTATAGGTGAGCTTCAAGAAATGTAAGAGTAATTGCTGAAATTCAAGTTTATAAGTCAGGTTTTCGTAGTTTCATAGTTATATCAGTTTTTTACAATTTTTATTTATTTATTCTATCTTTTCACAGCCTTGATATCAAACTTCCTTCTCTCTTTTTCTCTTTTCTGTTTTTCCTTTCGCTAGTTTTCTTATGTTTGTTAAAGTATGCAGCAGTATGAAGCGAGTTTTTTTCTCCCACAAAAAAAACCTTCTTCTTCTTGCTGCGGTGATCAGAAAATAATAGGAAGGAAGAAAGTATAACTGGATAGATGTTTTTGGGTGGCCATGAAGGCAAGCACTCTTAGGCCCGTATGCACTAACATTTTTGCGGCGAGGGGAGCGGCGTCCCCCATTATGAAGGGACCGCGTGCGGACGCCGCTGCGGCTTTTTCATCATTGGGGACGCCGCTCCCTTCGCCGCAGGGATGTTAGTGCATGCGGCCCTTACTCTTACTTGTAAATTATTGATCATTTTTTTTCTAAAGGTCAAAGTGCCTTTGGAAAATTTTTTGGTAGCGTATCTGGGTTTGAGAAATTCAAAAATTCAATACATTTCGAGAAAAACTTTTTTCATTCAGAATGACCGAAGCGCAAATTGCTACCGTATCGCTGCAGGTGCTCAGAGCTTTGGAGTTTCTTCATGCTCGACGTGTCATTCATAGGTAATATCAATAACGTAATTTTAACCCAATTTTTGTAATTTTTTTTCTAATCTTATTGTGTTGCAGAGATATCAAGAGTGACTCTATACTGCTAAAGCGAGATGGTATAGTCAAGGTAAATTTTTTTCCATTCCAGATGTAGCTACTTCTTACTCTTTCGATCGAATTTGTGCTAAGTGTGTGGATGTTTTTTGCAGGTTTCGGATTTTGGTTTCTGTGGGCAGCTTTCAGATGAATTTCCAAGGCGAAGGTCATTAGTTGGTACACCTTACTGGACAGCTGCTGAGGTGAGGGTCTAACTAAGCAAGCAGTCATCATAAAATCAGTAGCCTACTCCTGCGCGGACAGCTGGTACAAACCATGATTTATACGTATGCATGGTTTGTGTCACTAATCCGCTGGGTGGAGGTAGCCAATCATGATGGGGTTTACCCACTAAATGCTTATTGCTGATTTTTTAGGTAATTGCCCGGCAACCATATGATACTGGAGCCGACATCTGGTCGTTTGGTATCATGCTGATTGAAATGGTTGAGGGAGAACCGCCACTGTTCAATGAGCAGCCTTTTCAGGTAAAGGAATAAATTTTCTGCTGACGAAAGTTTCGTAGAAAGTTTCCTTCATTAAGTCAACAGATTCTCAAGAAAGGCGCCTAGATCTCTCTAGTATAAAATTGCATTAGTTTAAATCGATCCCTCTTCCAAATGATGAGTATTTTTCTTCAATCGGGATTGTTTTGTAATATTCCTATCTAAAACAATTCCGCAGAGTTCTTTGATAGCTCGCAGAAAGTAAAGGATCAGATTTTTGGGTTCTTGGGCACATAATCTCAATCTTTTGGCCCCAAAAATTTTTTGTATAGTGAGAAAAATTCGAGTGAAATGGTGAAATCTTCAAAGTTTTTTTTGCTTTTGAAAGCTTACAACCTAATATCAAAAAGAAGGTCATACCTTTTTTTATTGTATAAAGAATTTTCTATTTCTCCAACGTATAGCTCTCTATCATGATTTTGAGCAATAGATGTTAGTGGGTGGAGGAAAGAACGCCTAGTTAGGCCCCGCCTCCGCGGACTACTGGTCCTAACACGATGCACTACAGTAGGATGAAAAGACCGGCAGCCCGTGGAGCTGGGGTAGTGGACTATATGTCGCCGAAAAAGGGCGGTCCCCGCGGTCATTTGCGACAAATACGCACCCTTGTACATGCGCGGACATGCGTTCCTGCAGGAAATCCGCGCGGGACTCCTCCAGATTCGGCGACATATAGCCCTTCACCCGTGGAGCTGGTGCCTAGTCGAGCTGTTCGTTCCTCTACCCGATAATGGGGCCTGTCACCCACTAATATAATAAGGCTTCCTTTTGATCCAGAGTAAATCCTTTGAAAATTTAAAAATTTTGTCTTCATTTAGGCAATGAAAATGATTCGAGACGAACCGCCGCCTACCTTCAATCCTACAGCAAATGTAAATTTTATCATCGAAATACTTTAGACATGTTTTGAATTTTTCAATTGTAAGCTTGTTTAGGTATCCCCTGAGCTGGCTCACATGCTCAGTCGATGTGTCGTAAAAGATCCGACTAGAAGAGCAACGGCATTAGATCTACTACGACATCCTTTACTGAAAAAGGCGCAGCATCACAGCTGTATAGCACATCTTATAAATAATAATGTTAAACCAAACTGATAATCCACACATTAGCCAAGAGATTGATCTTCTCAAAAATTGCTGTACTGTTATCATTGGTAATCATTTTACATTTTCGGGGTAATTTATATCATTGCAATGGTAGAAAGTTCAGGAATTTTAGCACAATTCCCATTTTACATTCCTTAATCCGTAGTCGATTCACAAAATTTCTTTTTTTTTTCTGAATTTCCCAACACTTACGACCGGACTGGCCATCATTGCGGGCTTCTGCGCTTTTTCTCACAAGTTTCGCAGGAACGGTTGAAGGAAGAGACGCAGACGGCAGAGAAATGAGAGTGTGCCTACTGGAGGAGACGCAGACGGCGAGATTGATGAAAGTGCGCGCATTTTGAGAGACCCAGACGTCGGAATGGTGAGAATGCGTTCATGTGGAGAGACGAGACAGTGAGAGTGAGAGAGTGCGTTTTTTGGGACGAGACGCAGACTAGAACAGTGAGGACGCGTTTGATGGAGAGACGCCGAAGTCCGCAACAACGTCCATTCTTTGCGTTTTGGGGAATTTTATGATTTTTCAGTCTGTATAACATATCTGTATCAAACTTCTCATCTGTGAATTTGTACATTTCCTGTCTGTTTTACTATCACTAATTTATTCGATGCAGCTATTATACCACATTGTCAACCTTAAATTTATCCGGTCCTTGTAATATTGTAATTTTGATCCAGTGATAGTCTAATAACCACTTTGGAGACTTGTTAACAAATGCTATGTATGTGTGGTTACTTCAGTTCTATTGCGGTACGGGTATTTCTTTGTATAATTGATTACATTGTTACAAATGTTTTTCACAATGAATTTGATGAGAATTGATTGGAAGTGATTCTTGCTAGCCGTGAATAATTTTTTGCACCTTGGAATCTGGGATTTCTACAAGTTGCAGTTTACCCAATCATTCCATTTTATTTCATACAATCCATTAAGGGGAAGTATTTTGTACTGGCCCCGTCTCTCTGAGAAAACTCCGCCCACTCTGACCCTCTACAAGAACTGCTCGCAAACAAACGCATGGTAGAGACCTAAGTGACCGTAAGTGACTGCGAAATTCCAAACTTCACTCCTGCCTCTCCGTAGTCCACCACATGGCAAGCCCCGCCCATCTTACGAAAATTGCATAAAGTCCAAGATTTGTTTGATGAACATTGCATAAAGTCCAAGATTTGTTTGATGAACATTGCATAAAGTCCAAGATTTGTGTGCGAATATGGGCAGTCTTGGTTAAGTGGGCAAAGTTTGCCGAAAGGGCGGAGCTTGCCACAGGGGTGGACCTGCCACGTCCACGTTGTATCTATGTACTCCATACACAGACCCATACATGCATGGAAGCGTACTTTTAAATGTCCAAGAACATCTTATTTCACGAGGCGACATGAAAAAAATGGCTCATCGTCAATAAATAACCAGGCTGTAGTCGAGTGGGCGGAGTTTGTTATAGGGCCGGAGCTGTCACGTCCACTTGGTGTACGTGGGACATCTACTTGAAGGAAGAATAATTTTATTATAGTGAAGCACTCAAAGGACATTGATCTCTAAGAATTTTGTCTCGAAGCTGTTGTCCATTGGGTGATATCAGTATGTTCTGAAAATAGAGCATCAGCGGTAAAGACGGAAGTTGAAAATGCAAGAGTTGTTTTATAGACGCAGACAATGCATAAATGCAGCGGTGCGGTAACGCAGCGGTTTGTGTGGAGTTTAGCTGTCTGCGTATCTCCCTCCCACAATTCTCTTTGCGCCTCATATGCGTCTTGCCGTATCTCCGCACCGCTCGCAGCTTGCGCGCTTGTCAGCGTCGTTGAACAAATTACGAACGAATCTAATATCAAAAAGTTTTCTATATTTTTTTACCTCTCGGTTCATACTTATCAGTAAAAGTTCATCCCGATTTGGTTTAATATTATCGTCGACGGCAACGGCAATAACGATGACATTCTGTAATTTGGCAGCTTCAGCTGCATCCGAAGGATCTTCCTAAAATGACGCTTTTCTCTAATGGTCAACAAGGTCGTTTTAAGACCTGTGAGTATCCGTCGGTAAAAACCACAAGGATTTTCTTTGCGTCTTTCCTTGCTCCATGCTTTCTATCTTGAAACTCTTTCAGTGCGTAGTGCATTGCTTCACCAGTTCGCGTCGTTCCACCAGCGGGTTCCATCCGGAACAAATCCCTTAAAACCAGATGTAGGGTGAGGAGGGTTATGATCAGAATCCTGCAACTTACTCGATGAGATTGTCCTTCACCTTATGCTTGTCCAGGTGGAAAAGTGTTTCCGTTCTTCCTGGTCCGGAATATCGAATCAGCGACACCTACAAAAAGGTCTACCCTTTGATTCAACTGGATTGGCGGCTAGAGGGCGGGGCTTCGTGACCTAGTTAAGGCTAGGGAATGATCAAAGAGCGCGCGCGCGAGAAAGACGCAAACTGCGTCGCGGGCGCGAGCGGTCTTGATTGGGTCACAAAGCCCCGCCTTTCAGCCGCCAGTCCAATTGAATCAAAGGTTAGACATTGTCAGCTCCTTTCTCAGAAATTGAAGTTACAGACAGTTTATCGCACATAGACGGCAGGCGATAAGAGGGATGATAGTGCAGCGATCGGAGAGACGCGGACCGCGTACGCGGTGATCCCCTGTTTCTGCGTGCAGTGACTCGTCTATAATTCATTTTTCGCTTCAAATTTGAACACTCTTTTTCAATCAGAGAGCGGTATTTCAAGTAACTGCGACAACTTTGTTCCTTACAGTCCTATCATGGTAAGTCTTTCATCGAAATTTTTTTACGCAGTTTTCAAGTCTTGGGCTGCAGTGCAGTTCCATTGAGTAACCCAAAATTTTTCCCACACTTTATAATCGTAAAAAGCAACAGGCCTTTCAGAATTGGGGGACTAGTCCCCTTTTCCTTGTTAGACCTATAAGGAAACTGTAAATTTTGGCTATTGTATATAGGTCTGTTCAAGCTTGGACGAGTATCTCCACGCAGAGGGTGACGGACTATATGTCGCCGAATGTGCAAGGGTCCCGCGTGGATTTCTGGCAGGAACGCATCTCGTGCAGATTCAAGCGTATTTGTTGCAAATGACCGCGGGGACTGCCCCTTTCCGGCGACATATAGTCCTCCATCCGGGCGCAGAGAATGGACGCGTCGCGTCCGACTTAGACAGTTGGTGCATGGAGGAGACAGCAGGCGACAAGAGGAGTGCAAGAGCGCTAGAGTAGAGAGACGCCGACAACATCCGTGATGACATAGCGTCTTTGCGTGCGATAAATCGCCTCCCCATCGCTTTTCCAAAGTGCGATTTACTTACTCGTACGGCGTGGGCCGAGACTGGAAGGCGCCCAACGGCAGCAGCAGCTATGTCCAAGTAACTGAAAATGAGAATTACATTGATTTTCCTCTGCAAAAACATATTATTTTTAGGCATTTCCAATTAGAGGTTATGCAATGGGCGCTTAAAAAAATTAAGATCTACCATTATCGGTACACAAATTTGTTTTCCGCTCAAGTATATACTCCGCCAGAACTACGTAGCATGTTGAACGCTGCGTAGGACCCGTACGCGCTGCAGTCGCGGCGAAGCACGCGTACGGCACAGCTCCGGCGCGGCGCTGGAGCTCCGCCTACACAGCTTAGGGAGTATGGCCATAAAATTGAGACAAGCCATGAAAAATGAGCAACAAATGCATGCAGTCTTTCTAAAGCTATATCGTTACACAAATTAACCTCTCCGCATCTCTACGCAGATCTTTTGGAGAGGATCCAGCAGATTAGATGCGCACTAACCGTCTGCTTTTGTCTCCTGTGCCATCTGACAGATCCATCAAAAATATCACGTCCACTATGCAGCCTGAAAAATTGGCGTTAAAGTTACCATAATATGAGGTGCTAAAAGTTTAAAGAATCTTGGTTGGTACGATATACTATTGTGGACAAAAAGTAATTGTTCAGGAATTATGAGTGCATCGTAAATTATGCGTTCAATAGCTAATTTTTACAGGCGAATGTTGTCGGCACCGCAGAAGCCCAGACTATCTCTCAATCTGGAATATGTTGTTGAAGGCCGTTTCATCCGGGATTTGTTCCGGGCCGGTACCCCGCGAGACGAATCTTTGTCAAATGGTGCATACAGTCTGTGTCAACTACGTACTGCCATCTGCGTATCAGCTATGCATCCGCAACGCGAGGGCCATACGTGCGATCTCGAATCAATGAGGCTAATGACCTTTGACTGAACTGGCTTGGCGGTCGGCGGCCCCTTGATTTTTTGGATTGGCGGCTGGAAGGAGGGGCTTTGTGACCTAAATGAGGCCGCTCGCGCCCGCAATGCAATCTGCATCTCTGTCGCGCGCGTGCTCTCTTGTCATCATCTAGCTTTAATTCGGTCACGAAGCCCCGCCTTCCAGCCCCCAAGCCAGTTGAATCAAAGGGTATGAATTGAGCCACACGCGTGCGAATGTGGCGCGAAGCTCTGGCGTAGCAATTGCGCCACGGGAAAGGAAGTACGTTGTTGACACAGGCTCTAACAGAGTTCGCACGTGCCATATCGTACCCACCGCAAAGCTGTCTTTCCATTACTATTTAAAGCGCGAGACTTACCTTCAGGCGTTTTAGACGTGGTAGTGGTAGAAATGGTAGTGGTATACCTAGTCGTAGCTTCAAGCGTAGTCGGTGCAGTAGTTGTAGGGACGGCAATGGTGGGTCTGGGCGTATATCGTGGACGCCTAAATTGACAAATTCAGAAAATCATTCAAAATTTTGAAGATGTTCTTGAGCTTCAATTTTTCCCCTTCTCTGCGGTATACTCACGGCATTCTACCGCAAAACATTTCTTGAGAGAAAAATTAAGTAAAAATAGTACAAATTTTGTGTCTCAGCAGACAACCTTTTGTCATCGCTCTACAAGTGTAACAGTCTCTCTCCTCTCCCCCCCCCCCCCTCCCTTCTCAAAAAAATCTAAGTTTCGAGATCCAAAGCTTTTGTAAGTTTGATGTTTTTCAAACTATTTTCTATAAGCTTTAGCCTAGCAAAAGATATTTTTCGAAGGCGTAATTGCGGTCACTTCCTTTCTGAAATTTTGATTTCGCAAGAGCATTATAACGTCAAACTTCACTGTAGTTACAGTATTGATCTGTTACGATCTGATCGTGGTCTATCGTACTCCCAGTAAACAATAAGAGAAAGAAAATTTTCGAGCTGTAGTACATATAAACTGAACTGACCCAGAAGCTACCCGAAGGGGATCTGTGGATACAAAGGAATGTAGCAGAAATCGTTTCGGAGGCTCTGTCACATCACGAGGTCCAACACTTCTATAGATAAGACTGTATTTATTCAATCAGGTCTGTAAAGACTTACCCATGTCTGAATACTTGAAGTGGTGGAACTGTTGCATCTCGCTGAAGTGCATTTTCGCTTCCAAGTGGAACATCGGATAACTGTACTTCTTCCTTCTCCTTTATCTCCTTTACTTCTTCTTTCTCCTTTATCACCTTTTTACGGAAGACTGGGCGAATCTTTGGTCCACGCGTGGTGGATGGTCTGAGAAAAAAATTTCTCAGACCCTAACCATCTTACCGTATAAACCAAGTACCTCCTTGTGGTTGGTGGACGGGTCGTTTTTGAAAACTGAATTTGAGGACGACGCGTTGTTGTCAGTGCAAGATCTATGACTGGCTTACGACGAATAGAGTCGGAGTTCTAAAAATAGAAAATTCTCTTGGTGAAAACCTAGTGAAAGCTGTTATTGATTATGGGAGAAGCGGTAATATGGCAGCGGTGCGGCCACAGAAAGCACCGCATTTGACCGGAAGTTCCGCTGGACATTCAGAGAATGAACCTTTCGCAGCTCTTTGTGGAAAGTGCTGCATGAGTTTCCGTTTTCAATTAATCTAGCGTCAAGTTTGAACTCTTAAAATCTTTCTTGTCCTGTGGAAGTTCCTTTGAAGGCAGCGTCCACCCAAAATTTTGCCTCCCATGTTTTCGCATTCCGGGGCCTTTCCGTGGCCCTGATTACAGTTATGAAGTTCAAATAGTCCAAAACCCCCAAAAACCCCGATTTTGGGGACCCTGTCTTGAGGGCGCGGGCGGCTTCCAGTACATGAGTGGGAGGAGTCTGATAGGATCTGACCGGGGCCTGAAGCATTTTAGCTGTTCCAGGCCCCTTATCTCCGTTCAAAGACAACATTAGAGAACTGCGCCAACGCAGATGCCCCTCTCGTGGTGCCTACATTCAGGATTGACGCTAATCGGAGGGGGTTAGATTTAGGCTGGACACTGCCTTTAAGTTGACCGGTAATTTCAACGGAAGATTGATTCAAGTAGCTAGATAGGACGTAAGCCATTCCTGTAAGAGTTCTAACTTTGAACAGTAAAATTTGTGAGTTATTGGCAGGAGCGTTTTCTCTCCCAATGCGGAATTTTTTTTTGAAAATTTTGTAAAGTCATTTGATTACTGACAAGAAGTAAATAAGAACAATTTTGTTATATCAGCTGAGAAAAAGTTCTGAACATAAGGACGATGTTTTCGATCAATGATTTTGTAAATTCTGCAAAGATTGGATTATAAAAAATACAATCATAAGTTCATCAAGAGCATGCTCAGTGCTCAAAAATCAACAACTTGGAAGTGCAAAAATTGTGAAAACTCCTTGAACAGCAGAATGATATAGTCTTTGAGATAAGGTAATGCCGTCAAGCAGAAATATATTCTCTAAAAAAGAAATTTTTTGACTAGTACGGCTTACCTCGGTTGTAGTACAGGCTAGAAGCTCCTCAAATGAGTGTTCATTATCGGCAGATAGCTGACTGAAAATGGATTAGCTCAAATGAAGACGTCCATGAAGTAAACCAAAAATTTTTGTGATTTTATGGTGTTTTAAATTCTTTGAAGACTTTATAGTCGATTTTCTAGCAGAGTGCCCAAAAATGAACAGAATAACTGCCGACATTCATGAATTTTTCTAAAAAAAATATCTTTCGAAGTACAAAAACTTACTTTTTAGGTTGAGCGCTTCCAACCCTGAAAACGTGAGCAGTGTCATTTGTTGAGAATCTCTTCCACGTATCTATCAAACTGCTCTTCACATCATTCTCGGAGAAGAGTAAGACAACAAGAGAACGACCTAAAGTTGAAAAAAATTTTTGAATAAAAATTCCTTTGGAAAATGCTTCAATTTGAAGAAAAAATCAAACCGCTCTTTCGCTTTGCAATTTCCGTTGTCACCATACTCAGATAGCGATCGTAGTCTCCATCTGCAGAATCTATTCGGGTAATCAAATCGGCTGGGCTCTATCGAATAATTATTCGCTAATTTTTTACGGTAATGTGACTATCAAAATCCACTCACTTTAGCCACTGCGAACATATAACGACCACCATAATGACCAGTCGCTATATATAGATGTAGCCCATCTCGTTTGGAAATATCATTTGCGATTTTTGTCGCTCGAGTTCGTGAGAGCTAAAATATTCGTAAAAATGTCGCGACAAATCCCAGTATATTGGTAAGTGGATAATGAGTGGAAAATACCAACTAGTCCATTGCCCAAGCTGTAATTAATTATTTCATTTCAAACTCTCGTTTACTACCGTACCCGAGCCCGCCGAGGTGTTTGTTGTGAAAGAGTAAGGTACTGAGCGAGAATCTCGCATGCTTTTATATTTGGTTGTGAAAATAACTAGTATTCTAAGAATACAGTAGCTTTTCAAACAAATGTTCTTCCTTGGGGCGTGCCCAGGATCATTCTCGATCCATAAAAAAACCGTCCTTACTTTTCTCAGTTGTTTCCCGGACCATCAGTGCAGTACGCATATCAAACATAGGTACCCAGATTGCCTGTATACTGCTTCTTCAGGTCAGAAGGATTAACTGACAATTTAGCTGTGGAAGTTTACGAGAAATCGAAGATATTTATAAAAAATACTTGTGTACGCGGCGAAGTGCAATTTCATTAATAGAAAAGTATCCTTTAAACTTGGTAAATGATTCACATATTGAGGTTTACCCTTTTAGAGACTAGAGGGATAGTTCTCACTAATTTAGCTGCATTTTTGTTTTACAGACGATTATATTGAAAACAATGTTTTTGAAACAAATCCTCGCGCAGACTTCCATCTTCTTGAAATTTGGTCTGCACTTTGAACTTCCTTGCGTAAGTGAAACAATTATAACCAAGAACGTGAAAAGAATGAATAATATGATACTATACCTCGGATTTCGGATCCAGTACAAATATCAGATCGACACATGCAAGTGCTATATTTGGAAAGAGAAATAGAACGCTCGCAAGTGAATTCCGCATAATTCGAACACAAGTGTAGATATGTGAACCAAATCTCGCGTTTCCATCTTGATCGGAACGCAGATAAGGAGATCATCTGATCACTCTCACAACTACTATTTGCGACTATTTCGAGGAACGAATACCGGTTCTATACTTTCTTGCATGGGACAACTTCATTAAGTTAATACAATTCGTATTCTATGGAAATGGAGACAAACAGATTGCACGTACACTTAGCGGGTAATAAATTCTCTACAGGCGTCCACATCAAACATTCATATGCACAATTTTGATATTCTTTTCATAGTTAGAAATTGAGAAAATGAAAGTTGGCATGAGCAGTTCTATACTATGTACAAACCTTTAGAAGTACAACCATAGATTTTCAGCTCCAACCAAAGGCTAGTTTCCGAGAAATATTGATTTTAGCGCAGAAGAACCGAAAAAGGCAATATTTTCGCGTTTTTGCATTTCAAATTTCTAAATTTTTCAACTTTCCAAATTTCAGTCATTGTAGAAAGGCGATAAATGTGGTCGTATGTTCAATGTAGGGAGCATATGCGTGATTAAGTCGAAGGTCCCCAGGATCTTTTTGGACGGAGATCTGAATTTTAGGTATTTAGGATTTGATTTGTTCAGATTTTGCTTTTGATTCCCATAGATCAAACTTTTTCGTCGTACTAACGCGGTCTTGTAGAGGTTGCCTTGCGCTATCGAATGGTATACATCCCACATTTTCACATTGATACTGCGACAATCGTGCAGGGAACCTGCATTAAATTCCGGACAACCGAATAGTACTCAAAATGCATGAAAACGAGAGAATTTTCTGACTATGGGAAATCGTTGACATATTTTTAGTAAACAATTGGAGGGGCTTTTATATATTAGGTTGGTGCAAAAATAATGAGCGTTTTTATTTTCTTGCTTTAACAAAGCAAGCAGACTCAACCCAACAAAGAGTAAGGGGTATTGTTCGATAGAGCAAAGCAAGCTCTACAACATGGCACTCATGCCTTTGCGCCATGCTCGATCCGCGGAGAGTACGAACTCAAAAGCTAAAGATTTCCAAATGCCCAAAAAATCGAAAAAAATCAGATCTTCGTCCAAATAATTTCTACGGACCTCCCACTCGCTCACATCAATACTATCGATACCTGATATCCATATGTGCGATTGCCGTATTTTTTCCTTGACTAGAAACTGAGAAAACGAAAATTTCCCTGATTTTCTCAAAGCAATGCTGAGCCGTTTTTGCATATGTAGTTCTATACTACAAGCCTAGGTAAGCATAACTGTAGATTTTCAGCCCATTCCAAGCGGTAGTTTTCGAAAAATAACGAATTCGGATTTTTTCGTTTCAGTTTTAGTGCTAAAATCGACATTTCTCGAAAAGTACCGCTCGAAATAGGCTGAAAAACTACAGTTGTGCTTACCTAGGCTTGTACTATAGAACTACATATGTAAAAACGGCTCAGCATTGCTTTGAGAAAATCAGGGAAATTTTCGTTTTCTCAGTTTCTAGTCAAGCAAAAAATACGGCAATCGCACATATGGATATCAGGTATCGATAGCATTAATGTGAGCGAGTGGGAGGTCCGTAGAAATTATTTGGACGAAGATCTGATTTTTTTCGATTTTTTGGGCATTTGGAAATCTTTAGATTTTGAGTTCGTACTCTCCGCGGATCGAGCATGGCGCAAAGGCATGAGGGCCAAGTTGTAGAGCTTGCTTTGCTCTATCGAACAATACCCCTTACCCTTTGTTGGGTTGAGTCTGCTTGCTTTGTTAAAGCAAGAAAATAAAAACGCTCATTATTTTTGCACCAACCTAATAGATTCTTCATCAAGTCAAAGTAGCTTTGTAATTAAGAAGGGGGCATGACGGCTTTCCCCAAAATTTAGAAATGTCCGTAAGAATTTGTAAAGCATCTTCAAATTTTTTTTTGTGTGGCTTACTCATGCTCTTTAATTCGAAAAGTATTTTTGACCCTCCCTGAGCAGGCCGGCCTTCCTAGTTGAGAATGCGCCTTTAGCGGTTTCAGTCACTTGATTTTGAAAACAACAACTACACAAAATCATTGGATTTTATGAGTTCTCCATTCGCCACATACTATTAGGTCGTTCCGAAAGTAATGTCGCTTTTTTCAAACGTATGCCACATTTCGTGGAACAAAGATATGTAAGAGATTCTGGTAGCATTTGATGCAGCATTTCATTCTCTTTCTAGCGGTTATATAATTACCGCACAAAATTGAATAACCTCTGGGAAAATTATGGGAATCTGCGACACATGCTTTTTGAAAAGGTCAAGTTTCACAATTTTTCTAAATTTTTATAACAACCCCCGGAAGGAGTCCAAGTTATGTATGGATAGAGCAAACCCTACGGGAAACTGCACAACTTTTTTCTACTTTTCGGAGCTCGTTATAATTTCTGTATAGATTTTTTGATGGAAACATTGAATCCTATCAGGCTCGTCTCAGACACAAATTCATCAAACACCAAGAAATCGTCGGATTTTGAAACTTACAAAAATGGATTATGGTTTCACACTAATTTTACAAGCCAAATGAGCATTCACTGCTTCAGATTAGCAACTTTCGAAATTTCCGGGTACAGCAGGAGGTGCCCTAGAAAACCCGAATTAGGTTGATTTTATCTCGGAAAACTTGATGATTCGGAAACCAAAAACAACTCGTAAAAAGAGGAGAAAAAGCTGCGTCAAATGACACCCGAGTTGCTTGCCGATTGTTATTCTGTGAGGTTTGATTTGACCAAATATGGAATTTGATGGCATTTTAAAACTGATTCCAGAAACTTTAAGAAGCAAGCTAAGGAAAAGAAAAAAATAATTTTGTGTCCTAAGGGGTTTGCTCTATCTATCTGCCACTTGTACTTCTTCGGAGGTTAGGTGCAAAAATCCTTAAAAAATTCCCGAACTTTACCATGGCAAAAAGCATGAGTCGCAGATTTTGTTGATTTTTCGAAAGTTCAATAAAAAATATGCAATGTAGTTACAACCATTAGAAAGAGGATGAAATGATGCATCGAATGCTCTTAAGATCTCTTGAAAATCTTGATTCCATGAAATGTGGCATTCATTTAAAAAAAGCGACATTACTTTCGGAACAACCTAATATATACGTCTATAAAAACCAAAATAAAAATCGGCTTCACCAAGATACTGTGGCTGAGGAAAAGATGAAATATTCATGCAGAAACAAGACTTTCCTCCAAGTCTTTATTACTCACAAGTACATCGAAAAGGTCCAAAAATAAGCATACTCCAACAACACAATCCGACTTCAACACATTAAAACACAAAACAGAAACTGGGATCTAACCTAGATTCTGACCTTCATGCCTTTTCTGAAGTACATCAAGCAATAAAAACAAGGTGTTTTTCTGTTAATATACGATAAGTAGAAATAGTATGACTCCAACTCATTAAAATACTATGTGAAACTAATATGAAGCAAGATTCGTAAGAGGCAGCGTCCTGGCAAACCCTAAGCCGCCTTACTTTTGAAACCGTTTTTACTGCACCGATCCCGAATATGCTCCGAAGCGGATATATACATCAAAGATAGAACAATTTTCTACGTATGGACGGAGCGCGAATGTTCATGAATTGCCTATTTTGCCATCTAGCTGTAAATGCATTCTCGGAATCAGCACGACAAGTAAAACCATGTAGCAAAAATATAGAAATCGGGAATTTGCCCGGACACTGCCTATAACATCAGGGGCGGTATTTATCAATCTCCCGCTCGCTGTTCGAGCCATTGTTAACGAGAGCTGGACAGGCAAAAGCGCCAACCCGTGATTTATCGAATGGTCCGATCTGGCAAGTTCGGCCAAGTCGAGAACGGCAGTCAAGCAGCAGAGTCCGATTTCGAGAGGTCGGGCTCCGCTGCCCGACTGCCGCGCCCGACTGCCCTCCAGATCGGACCATATTCCTTGATAGACGGAGCCATCACCACCTTGGCTTCGTATATCGCGGGCGCCATTGCGCGCCTGTACGGGCCGTTACCTGTACAGGAACCTCTTCCAGTGGCGATCCGAGGGGGAGGGGGCGGGGGGGGGGGGGGGGGAGCGCTCCCCCCCCCCCCCGAGAATGGGTCGCGAAATTTTTGAAACTTAACTATATGGGTTATAAAAGTGTGCAAACGACGTGTTTATTTTTAAATAATTAAAATAATTTTTAAAATTTTTTAAAAATTCAAATTAGCCTAAAAAAATTTTCGGGGGCGTGGCTGACGCCACGCCCCCTTTTCCAGATTTTAGGGATTGGAGACTCGCAAAAACTATGAGAAGTACCCCCAAAAATTTTTCGGAGTGCGTGGCTAACGCACCTTCATTTGAAAAAAATTTTTTCTGCGCCCCCCCCCTCCCGGTCCGAAATCCTGCGACCGCCACTGACCCCTTCCAGTGGCGTACCGAGGGGGGGCGGGGGGGGGGGGGCGCCCCCCCCCCCCGAGAATGGGTCGCGAAATTTTTGAAAGTTACTTATATGGGTTATAAAAATGTGCAAGTGACTTGTTTATTTTTGTAAATAATTAAAATAATTTTTAAAAATTTTTAAAAATTCTAATTAGCCTTGTAAAAAAAATTTTTTCGGGGGCGTGGCTGACGCCACGCCCCCGTTTTCCGGATTTTAGGGGTCGGGGACCCGCAAAAGTCCTTAGGAGCACCCCAAAAATTTTTTCGGAGTGCGTGGCTAAAGCCACGCACCTTCTTTAGAAAAAAATTTTTGTCGCCCCCCCCCCGAGCCGAAATCCTGGGTCCACTGATCCCTTCCTATATAAAAGTTGATAAATACAGCCCCAGGATAACGCAGATGGCTGATTACGTGCAGAATATAGAGAATACAACTAAAGCGAGATGTAACAATTCGCAACAAAGACAAAAGCAGTAACCTATAATTTGAGCTAAGGTTAAGTGAACCTTCAACATAACATTAATGCAAACGCCAATCCATCGGCAACAAATGAAAAGCACCTCAAGGTGAAGCTTAAGCCTTAAGGATCAAAACATAGAACATTTGAGGATTCTATGAACGTTTGCTCAATAATGCCGCGGCATGTGAATAAATTGAAACTTATGCTTTAGAATGAGAAAACATAGTTTAACTTATTCGGTATGCGTCGCGCAAACTTTCTGAGTCTTCGAAGTCATAGAGACGCTGTAGCTTAAGAACAATAAAAACAAAACTGTTAATAGAATAACGAGTGGTTCCAGCCTCAATTCCTGCAGTGAACTGCGGTTGACGTTGAGGACTGGGTTAGTATCAACACTGTAAAAATCTTGTAGATCAAAAATGTAGGCGTAGAACATCCAGAAAGAAAGTAATGAGGATGCAAGTGGGACTTAATAATTAAAACTATCAAAAGCTTGGGGAAAAAACGAGTAATCATTAGGGAACTCCCATAAAGTCTTCTACCCGGCTAAGTTGGCATCAAGTTGGCTGCTACGGGAGCACGTTGTAACAATACAGAACCGTAGTAAGAATACAGTAAATAACCAACAGGGTAGCAGGAATCTGGGATCAAAGGCAGATAACGACTTAGTTTTCAAGCATACCTCAAGCGACTTCAATAGCCACACGATCTGACATTCTCGCATCATTTCTTGACCCTTCAAAACATGATGCATGCTTTTGTAGATTTATATGGACATAGAACTGATAATCCACATCGCGCAGCAACTCAAGTTGCCCAAGTTATGCCCAGCGTCTCAGACGGTTGGACCAGCGAGTCTCTTGTACGGTACAGCAGAATACGGTTGGCTTGAGGCAGCATTACTCAAAATGCGCACCTTTTGGAGGTAAAACTGACGACGCTTGGAGATCTGGATAGAGGAAAGAATCATCAGACGGCGCTTCGAACGGCAATCAATGGTGGCATTCGCCCTATGCCCTGAGCAGGGGCTGGCACCAGCCGGCACGGGGCAAGCTGGATATCGTTTTGCTCAGATAATCGCTGGGGGCAGGCGGGCACCGGAAAAATAGTTTGCTTATCTCTCGCACCCCGCTCGCGGATTTTTTGCAAAGCAATCAGGACTTTTCGGAAGACCGCTTGCTGAATTCTCGATTCCTCAGAGATTCAGCAATATATCTGCAAAAGACAAAAGCGAAAAAAATTCAACAGGCGGTCTCTCAAAAATCCGCTGACTCAGCGAGCGGTCTTCCGAAAAGTCCCGATTGCTTTGCAAAAAATCCACGAGCGGGGTGCGAGAAATCAGCAATCTATTTTTCCGGTGCCCGCCTGCCCCCCGCGATTATCTGAGTGGGTCAAAAAGCAAAGGGGATATCATTTTTGTCGAAACTGCGACGTTTTTTTAGTCGACGTTTCGTTTTTTGGAGGATTTTCAGGGATTTTGGTCTGGGTCAAAGGGGACTTCGTAAAAATTAGCAAAATACAAGGGGGACTTCGTTTTGAAAATTCTCTGGTGCCAGCTCGTGCCCAGCCCTGGCCCTGAGACATCAACCAATAAGCCATTGCTCAAACGAGGCGCGAAGGTCCACTTTGAACTTTTGCCCAGTACCGGACTTTGGGATAAGAACAGAACCTGCGCCGCCGTCGTCCGAGGGACACTGAACTGATTCCATCCCACGGACAGGGAGTATACTGGGCAAGAGTTGAATAGAGGATTGCCCAGCTATAAGTTGCAGAGCGGCCCTTACACCATGGCTTGAGCAGCTCCTCTATAATTTCCGGCTAAGAAAGCTTAAGTGTACAGATTTGCCCAGATTGCTTTTATCGCACATCCGCCGCAAGTCCAACTGCCTGAGGTTGCTTCACTTACTAATTCTCCACCAGATCTAGTTCGTGCAGGAGCTCGTGATATAAAGCTTGGTCGGCTTTTCTTATCTCCGCTCTAATCCTCTCGGACTTCATACATTCTCTCATATACTGCCGTAGCTCTTTCTGGAATGAATGTGGGAAATAATAACTTGAAGCGTAATGGTATGGTATTTGTCTTGGTTTACTTCAAAGTTCGTAAAAAAGTGCCATAGTATAGTGCAGACACTTGGGCTACCGCCAGACGAAGGCGAAGCAGCATAAGCGATGCGGCGCGAACGTGCGCACGCATTTACCACATCTTGTAAACTTTGGCGCTCTTCGGAATAAAACCGCGTTCGCGCCTTTAGGTTTTGCCCCTCACCTGGCAATAGCCTATACATCTACACTCGACCAAAATGTAAGATTATGAAAAAGTTACAATATCAACACGGTAACCTTTACCTCTGTTTCTGAATCTTCCGAAGTATCTTCGAGATTCCTACACTTGTCACCATCAGAGGACTTCGCAAGTGAGTCACTGGATTTTCTAGATGACTCGGGACTCTGCAAATCTAATTTCAAATGACACATCACTAAGCTTTGCAATTTACCTTTTCAATCTCTATACCGGAATCTTCCCTTCCCTCATCAAGAAAGTTGTCTGAAAAAAAATCAAATGAATAAAACCCCAAATTTTGAATTAAATGAACTAGTTACTTAAAAGTTTTTTGATATGGTTCTGTGGACATTCTTGTGTCGCATTCGGATGCTGCAATTCGAACTCTGAATGTGTGTTGAGGCAAGAATATAAATTTACCTCAGCATTGCCTTGCTCACTGTCCTTCCCAATGCACCGAACCGAATTAAGTATCCTTCTAACTTTCCATCTAGGGAAGTCCTCAGATTTAAAATGCCTAATGCATTCTATGATGTAAATTCCATATTCTAAATATACGTATGGCGTCTATTTACACGTTATTACAATGCTTACCACGATCTCTAAAAAGATCAAATTGATCTTTTATAAATTCTTTTTTATCACTCCATACGATTCTGGTCCCATGGTCGTCGGTACATCCTATGTATTCCACTTCTAATGTCAGCTGAAACCAGTTTTCTTACGCTATGCTTTGCAATGAATCGCATTCGTTCTCACCAAAGACGCGCAGTATCAACCAACAATTAGACATTTAGACTAGTCTCAGCGAACACGGCTGCGACCGAATCTTTAGGCTAAACCGTGATCGCGCTACTACGAGCGTGCGGGCATTATAATATGGTTACAAGTAACAGGCTCGGCCCTCACTTCATCAGTAGAAGAACGAGGAACATAACACACAGATCGTCCAGGTCTTGGACAATTTGTGGCTGAGAAACCAGCCCGCTATCGTTGCGTTGCAATTGCACTGCGCCAAACTCTTGCCGCTACTTGGCTTGTATATACAGGGCTAAACGCAGTGTCGGTTGCATAGCGTCTCCACTCTCGCGCTGGACTCTGCGTCTCTTCCGCGAACATGCTCTCTGATCACTTTCCAAGGGCAAGCGTGGGAAAGGCGGAGTCGATTAGAAGTGATAGCTTGCTTACCCAGCTCCGCTCGGGCCTGTCAAAACACTGTAATAAAGGTATCCCTATCCCTGCACAGTTTTTCCCTGTGCCCACTTCTACACTTCATTTCCCGTTCCCTGTGTTGTTTTCAAAATCAGCATGCCCATTTACCCCCCTGTGCCAACTCCCAGCCCTGTACCTCAAACTTTGCAAAAAATCGATAAAATCGATAAAAGCAATGGACGATTTTAAAAACTAATGTTGTATTCGTAATCAGCATGCTCGATTAATCCCCTACGCCAACTACTAGCCCCGTACCTCAAACTTTGCAAAAAATCGATAAAATCGATAAAAGCAATGGACGATTTTAAAAACTAATGTTGTATTCGTAATCAGCATGCTCGATTAATCCCCTACGCCAACTACTAGCCCCGTAGCTCGGACTTTGCAAAAAATCGATAAAATCGATAGAAGCAATTGATAATTCTGAAAACTAATATTGTATTCGGAATCGCCATGCCCTCTTACCCCCCTGTGCCAACTCCCAGCCCTGTACCTCAAACTTTGCAAAAAATCGATAAAATCGATAAAAGCAATGGACGATTTTAAAAACTAATGTTGTATTCGTAATCAGCATGCTCGACTAATCCCCTACGCCAACTCCCAGCCCCGTAGCTCGAACTTTGCAAAAAATCGATAAAATCGATAGAAGCAATTGTTAATTCTGAAAACTAATATTGTATTCGGAATCGCCATGCCCTCTTACCCCCCTGTGCCAACTCCCAGCCCTGTAGCTCAAACTTTGCAAAAAATCGATAAAATCGATAAAATCGATGTCGATTGATGATGAATAGTAGCCTACGACACCCGGCCGGCCCCGAAGTGTATGTGTGCCAAGTTTGGTCCAAATCGGTTCAGAAATAAAAATTTCTATTCCGCACATATGGTGCATCCCCCAGAATTGTTCCGATATGATCCATCAACGTGGCTGCCTTTTGATCGTTTTAACATGTCAACTCCAGCAAATATGAGGCGCTTATTCGAAGTTGACATGTTAATTGGTCGAAAAACAGCCACGTTGATGGTTCACATGGGAACAATTCTAGGGGATGCATCATACATACATACAGACAGACATACACACATTCAGCTTTATACTATATAAGACTAGCTGGCTTACCCGGCTCCGCCGTATGTTCCGAATAGAAAATTCCATTTCTGAACCGATCGGCAAACTTGGCACACATACACTTCGGGCCCGGGCGGGTGTCATAGGCTACTTTTCGTCATCGATCGATATCGATTTTATCGATTTCTTGCAAAATTTGAGCTACGGGGAGTGAAATTTGGCAGAGGGGTGTAATCGAGCATGCTGAACACCCCCACGGGGGTGATCAGCATGCTCGATTACCCCCTGTGCCAACTCCCAGCCCCGTAGCTCAAATTCTGCAAAAAATTGATAAAATCGACATCGATCGATGACGAAAAGTAGCCTATGACACCCGCCGGGGCCCGAAGTGTATGTGTGCCAAGTTTGCCGATCGGTTCAGAAATGGAATTTTCTATTCGAAACATACGTACATACATACAAACAGACATTCAGCTTTATATATAAGATTGAAGAGGTTCGCGGAAGAGACACAGAGTCCAGCACGGGAGTGGAGATGCTGATGCAAGCGACACTGCGTTTGATAAGCCCTTTACATGCCATCGCATATTAAATCAACATTTTTAAAGCAAATGGCACGAGCTTTTGCCGCAAAAATCATAGTTACAGACTGCTTCGAGTGTAACGTTGTACACGCGCACGCATGTGTGCAGCCCGAGCCGATCGAGGCCTGTTATACACCATAAGGCAAATGCTACATTCTGCCTCTAGGGGCTGTGAATGTTTCCCCACGTCAAGTTTTGGTTACATCATCTTCGCAACAAAATTACAAAGATATAAATCCAAGACATGATGGATAACTTACTGAGAAGTAGCCGTTGTGTTTAGTAGGTACCATGGTTCCTTTTGATGACTCGATCTTCCCCGTTACGTAGTATGTATAGGGCGTAGTCTCTCGAGTAAGAAAGCAAACATCTGTACCCAGCAGAGTTCCAACATCGCCATCACTGAAACACTCCAAACACTATCCAGTGCTATATTCAGCTGGACTGACTCACAAGTTTGCATTCTTAAATCGGACATCATGAGGAAAATCACGAGATGTGATGTAGTTCATACCACGCTGCTGAACGGCACCTACTATACCACAACTACGCTGATGAAGCTATAAGTTAGTACAGATAGAAAGAGGAGTAGAATCCATGTTTTACAAGGACTGACATTATCATCTACCGGTTGCAGATACTTGTCCACTCCGCAAAGTTTCCATTCAAAATGGGAAGATGTTTTGCATAACTTTACTGTAGCTCGCAACTTCCCTGTAAAGCACACATGAAGGACGGGTTGCAAATAAGAAATCTTTGGAGATGCGTCTACACCTCCTTCGTGTGAATAGGATATCTGCAATGTGCGACCCTATCGGAGAGGATTTAGATGGACTATGCCCACTTCTCCTTTACTTCATGTTCTTGTTAGAAGGCATAAATTTTGGATCTCGTGATTTTGCAAACAATTCTGAGTCTTTACTACAACCCTACAAAGGTTAAAATTTCGCAATAGTCTTTCTCATTTATGAGGCCACACAGAAGTGATGTGAACTGGCTGTACCCATCTACTACTTATAAGCGATTCATCGCACGCAAAGACTGTGGACATATCGGCGTCTCTTAGATCGAACGCTCTTTCGTTTCTCTCTAACCGGACGCAAAGACGCTCAGTCTTTGCGTGTTATGAACTGCCGATACATTGCAGGGTCAAAAACATGTTACGAAGGCAGAAACCGATTTGATGTGGGGTACAGAATCTCGGCGTACTTACCGCTTGCTCATTCGCCTTTAGGGCTCTGCCATATCGTGACAGTCGCATTTGCTACAGAAAGCGCGTGTTCAAACGTCGCAAAGTTATCAAACAAGCGCAGTCATCCTACTACTTCCCAAAATGGTCCAAATGGAGACGAGAGAAGAGAGAAGAACTATCAAGAAAAACAGAAATCCGGGTCAAATTGCTTATCTTAATGGGAAGCGATGACCGCAGCAGATAGGGCCATCACAACCCAGCAGGCCCTATACAGGCGAGTCATGGCACTCAGATGTTAAAGGATCTTGCAACCGAAATGGATAGTTCGTGCTTGGGGTTGTTTCAGACTGCCGCACTGACTGCAGCAGACTGCAGCTGACTGCAGCTGACCGCACTGACCACACTGACCGCATCGGTCGCAGCCTCTTTTCTTAAAAGAAAAAACAACCGCGATTATCAAAACAGCATGATTTGCGCATAAGAAGATCATAAGTTCCATCAGAATTCTTCCCAGTCAAATTTTGGCGATAGTTTTCTTTGATATGTTGGTATTTGTTCTAATTCTTCCTATCATTGCATATACCTGTTTTGTAACATTCTAAACCTTGTTACCTTTTGCTTTTACGTATATATTGTTGTTGTTTGTCTAAACCACAACTATTTATCCTCTCCGCCTGCATGCTTCAGCCGCTGCGGTCATTGCGGTCAGTGCGGTCAGCTGCAGTCTGCTGCAGTCTGCTGCGGTCAGTGCAGACTGCTGCAGTCATTGCGACAGTATGAAACAACCCTTGGAAGAGAAGGCGGACGAAGGGATGAAAATGCACCAGAAGAGAGGCGGAGACAACGCATGCAAAGGCGTTCTTTCTCCACTTGTGACAAATCGCCTATGACTGGGCACAAATTGAAATTTCAAATCCCGCCTACCTAACAAACATTGCTCTGCATAGCTTGGTGTCTCACCCAGAGGCTAGCTTGCGCCGAGATATTTTGTTGGATTGGTATATAGCCTTACCTATATAGTTCTTTACCAATATCCCTCCGTCGTCTCTTACCACTCCGATGATGTCATTGAACACTGCTGGGTGCGCGAGCGGTATTCCTTTGTAACGCACACACCCACATGTATAAAAACTACCGCAGAACTGAAGAAAAAAGCATGAACTAATGAGTCTAAGAACGATATAGCTAGTTCTTGATTTTACAATATTCAAATCCTCTTCAAAAGCTTTGCTTGTCAAGTAGAGTGTCATCGTCACATAACCATCATATGGTACCCAAGTCGAAATATTGATCATACTCTTGTCTTTCGAATTGGGCCTGAAGTGAACATTGCTGTAATTCTAAAAACAGTTCAAATTAAGACAGAGTTAATCTTATATATAAAGCTGAATGTCTGTTTGTCTGTCTGTATTTGCCGGCGCCAGCGCTAGCGCGGCGGCACCATTGATGCCCGGGCGCGACGCGGTCGCGCGACCGCTGGTGCAAACGACTCTGCAATTTAGGAGCCCTGTACATATGTTCCGGATATAAAATTCCATTTCTGAACCGATCCGGACCAAACTTGGCACACATACACTTCGGGGCCGGGCGCGTGTCATAGGCTACTTTTCGTCATCGATCGATATCGATTTTATCGATTTTTTTGCTGAGGTCACCTATGGGGCTGGGAGTTTGCATAGGGGGGTAATCGAGCATGCTGATTACGAATACAGTATTAGTTTTTGAAATGGTCAATTACTTTTATCGATTTTATCAATTTTTTGCAAAGTTTGACCTGCGGAGCTGGGAGTTTGCACCTCAGATAATCGCCGGGGGCAAGCGGCCATGCGAATTTTGAGCAAGCGGGCACCGGAAAAATAGTTCGCTGATTTTTTGTGGTCCGCTTGCAGAAATTTGGAATAATTTTGGCCAATTTTTAGACGAACGCTCGAAGATCTATCGCGGTTTTTCTATACATAGGTTGCGGCACAGTGGCCGCATTCTCGCGGATTTTCCGCGAGAACATGCAAAATTATTGGGGGCCGCACGGTCCTTTTTAAAGGACCGCACAACCCTGAGGTACTTTCCGCTGAGAAAAAGTACCCCAAACTTGGGTAATAAAACCATCGATGGTACCTCTGCCACATAGAGTCTCATCTTTTCTCGGCGTACGCCCGAAACTGCGTAAAAAGAGTCTGAGCGCCTGCTGAAAGTTTGGCCAGCGCTCGCTGAAAGAGATTGTTTGACGAGCGCTTGCAGAAAATTTTGTATTGATGCCCGCTTGCAGAAAACGCAAATACCGCCCGCTGAAGATTTGGCCACGCCCCGAAATCCTGCTGACCGCCTGCAGAAAAGCGCGAGTTTGCGGACCGCCTGCCCCCGGCGATTATCTGAGACGGGGTAATCGAGCATGGGGATTCTGAATACAATATTAGTTTTCAGAATTATCGATTACTTTTATCGATTTTATCGATTTTTTTTGCAAAGTTTGAGCAACGGGGCTGGGAGTTGGCACAGCTCAGACAATCGCCGGGGGCAGGCGGGCACCGGAAAAATAGATGGCTGATTTCTCGAATCCCGCTCGCGGATTTTTTGAGAGGCAATCAGGACTTTTCGGAACGTCGCTTGCTGAATTCTCCATTCCTCAGAGATTCAGCAATATATCTGCAAAAGATAAGAGCGAAAAAAGATTCAACAGGCGGTCTCTCAGAAACTCGCTAACTATTTTCCTGGAATTTGCGAGCGGGACGCGAAATTTCAGCACCGCGTATTTTCCGGTGCCCGCCTGCCCCCGGTGATTGTCTGAGAGGGGGGTAATCGAGCATGCTGATTACTAAACAGCGGGAATAGTGATTTGGCATGTAAGCGTGGGCACAGGGAAAGATTCGTACAGGAATAGGGATAGTGTTCCTTGTTTTGACAGGGCCGGGCGGAGCCGGTAAGCCAGCTAGTGTACTCTATTCCCTTCAACATGTTGTTAAGTTTGATATACAGTCGTTTTCAATACGTATTGGTCTTTTCTACTATGCCTTCCAGCCTCAACATGACGTGAATTGCTGCGGCGCCGCCTCGCTTCGGGCCTGCGCCATGTAGCGGATGCTCGTTTGACGTGGCGTGGGGAGAAAAGTAACGTGGAGCAAGCCCGAGGCGATGCGGCGCCGGCGCACGCAGGGTTTGCAACGATGACGATACAAGCGCGCCGTGTTAACGCCGCTTGGCTAGTACTGCTTTTGCGCCTTCGTTTCTCCATTGCCTATAGTTGCTTCCAAGGAAAACGGAGTATAAAGCAAGTTATCTTCAAAGATTGTTGGAACACAAAATGATTAGCTGCCAGGAAAAGAAGTAAAAAATTCAATTTTTGTTTTCAAGACTTGGACTGATTTGCTAGTAGGTACCTATTTTGCTGACTCGTCATGTCAGTATACATGTTTTACAGTTATTTCCAATTTGTTGTATTATCTGTGCCATCAGAACTATTATGCGCGCCTCAAGACTTTTCGCCCCTCAGGCTCCCGCCAGAGTGCCGAAGTTATGCCAGCGCTACGCCAGCATTTCGATCGATACACGTGTATTTCGTTATGGACGTCAGCTAGCCCCGCCCCAACGAAATACACGTGTATCGATCGAAATGCTGGCGTAGCGCTGGCATAACTTCGGCACTCTGGCGGGAGCCTCAGGCTCCCGCCAGAGCGCCGAAGCCGCGCCGGCGCCGAGCTGTTCCGAGTGTTTCGATCGATACACGTGCATTTCATTTGTGGCGGGGCCAGCTGATCCAATTCTCAGCCAGGTAAATGCACCGGCTATTGATCGACATCTCTGTCAAAAGTTCCAGTAGCGCTTTGGCGGCACAGGGTCAGTTAGCCCCGCCCTGAACAAAATGCATGTGTATCGATCGAAACAGCGCCGAACAGCTCGGCGCTGGCGTGGCTTCGGCATCTGGCGGGAGCCTCAGAGTGTGGTGAGTGATGTCAAGAGATTCGGCTCGCTAATTACCACCTGTGCGGCGGCAAGCGGCTGTCTCAAAAGGGAATCGTTGATAGAATACTTAATTGTAGTTCGAAGGTCGGCTTGCGCGTAGTGGCATTCCGCTGCGTGGAATTGCTGTCATCAAATAACATCTGTCTCAATGACAGAACGCCGGCTTGGATAACGCGCCGCCGCCTTCTTGAATTTTTGCCGTGTCAGCGGGCATCCTATGGGCAATTTTTTGAGCCCGCTACCATCTAGTCGCCGCTCAGGCATGATAGAAAACCGCCAGAAGACGGTTGCGAGACGGCTTCACGAAAAGGGCGCGATCGCGACCATTTTTAGAAGTGAATAAGCCATTCACATGGATGGAACTGAACCCTCAAAAGGAGAATGAAGTTCATGTAACGGCGACAGCTCCGCGTAGTGCAATCACACTACGACCGCGCGCTGCATTCCTAGCCATACGTACCTAAAAGTATAGTCATACTGTTAATTATCGATAAAAGGATAAGAAACAGACATGAAAAGCTGTAGACACTCTAAGTATAGTTCGCCCCAATTCTAACTGGCCAAAATTGGCATGGCGGGAGTCCGCATCGCTAGGATTTCGCGGTCACGCCTACGGCCTGCTTCTCTGCTCTCTCTTCAATCCTTTTGCTCTCTCCGATAGCACGCCTATGCAGCGCGAACCGCTAGCGCTGCGAGCGCGCAGATTTACGCTAACGATTCAGCCTGATCCCAACTAGAGCAGACTGTAGCCGACTTTTGGATGAGGATGGCTCGCGCGAGTGTCGTTGCGGTCGCGCTGCGCATGACTGTTGCCGTTACACAGCCTGCACAAAATCTGACTCAAAACAATCGTATGTGCAACAATGATTCTAAAACAAAAAAGTCTTAGATCGATCTTCTAGACAAATCGTTGTATCGATTCTGATTTTGGAATGAGAGGGTTTGTACAGGCTATTCATAAAGTCGTGACGACGGATTCGATTACACTCCGCGGCCGCAGGAAATATGGAAAGACATCACCTGCGCTCAGTCACTTCCAGAATCTGAATACTATCGCAAGCGGAAAACCATTTGAGTAGAGATCAAAACAAGCAAAGCGGTTGGCGGAAGTGCATGAGCGACGCACACGGTCGCGCTTCATAGATGCCTATTCGAAAGTCTTTTCCGGCCCACTACGCTTCCTCTTCTTTGACGGTCCACTCTCTATGCCTACGTACCCGCTGATAGGTCAAAATGTGTCTTTTTCTCGCTTATTCCCTTTCTCATTGCTACTCCATTTGAAGAACAGTCACAGATAATGATAATATCTCTACTACTACAATAAATAAATACAAGAAAACTTACTTGTAATTAATGACAATCATTGCACCTATCGTTGGTGTGGGATCTTTCGCAGCAAAAACGCCCAACACAAAATTTTTATCGACGATGAGCAGAAAGGTGTGTAAAGACGTCGTTATACGCTTGATGACAAATGCTTTCTTACGATTAGCTATAGCCATCGCCATCGCTACATCGGCAGTCACCTGCAAAGAAGGACTCTCAGTGAATAAAAGAAGGGTTGAATAAGGAAAGAAACAACGATCTCCGCAAAGTACCGAACAGTTGACGGAAGCACAAGCAAAACATTGTCGAAGCAGAGCCCTAGACGAATCGTGACGAGATGTCGAATTAACAAGTGAGCTACAACTACGCAGGTAATCAAGTCAAGCGCATTTATAGGACTTACATCTTCGTAATGCGGGGGGAAGAGGAAACCCAGGAACATTCTGGAAGAATGAAAGTAAGGAGCAAAAAGCTTTCCAGAATGGCCGCAAAAGCAGAAGCGATAAGAACAGCTGCCACGAAGCTGATGACTAATAGAATGTTGCATCATTTTCTCTGTAAATAAATCGCTCCATTTCTCCCCATTGTAAAAAATGCAGCGTCTTTTTTCGTTAGTATCTACACTCTCTGAAGAAAGTCCAAGCAGAGTTCTTTTGCATTTTAGGAGCAGATCACAGCTTGAACCACAAAGTAATAGCAAATGGTGACAATTTGCCGAACGTAACATCGCACAGCGAAAACACGGACGGAACATTGCAAACTCGATAAATCGATGATCTACCTTATCTCAAACGCTATGCTGCCAAAAGTAGCGTTTTCAAGATGTACATTCTAACCTAAGGTCTGCCAAACTTCTCTCAAAAAGCCCAAAAGCACCCGACGCCTTTTCTTATTGTAAACGCCAGTCAACTATACAACTACAGTGCTGGCCATAGCTATAAAGCCACCCTAAAAATCACTGTAATTTGCTCTCTCTTGCTCATAATTAACTGAAAAACCACTATTTTGTGCGCAAACTAACGTCACACCACTGACCAGAACGACTCCCAATTTTATTGATTTTGGCCGGAGAAAAATTAATAAATTTGAAAAAACGGGTTCCAAAGGCTGGTCACAGCTATAAAGCCACCCTCTCATTTTCAATCAGTACTACGTTTTGTGAACCTCAAATTTTTTGTACATATACAACATCAAAATATGAAATATTTGTTACACTTGGAAGGAGTCGCCTTTCAAAAAGAAGATTCGTACTGCATTTTCTGCTCTAAAATGCATAATAAGTCACATAAAACTGCCTTTTCATTGAATTTTGAAGCACTTGTTTGACTCGGATGAAGGTCCTAGGATTTGTTTGGCCTTTGCAATGAACGATGTAAAAAGTGTTGAGCTGAAAATTGCGTAGTCGCTAATCTTGATAAACGAGCCCTCATATTACCGAGGTGTAAACACGCTTCTGAGGCGCAAAACTCGACTTCTGACGCGCGAAAACTTTTGGTTGGAAGTTGACACCTTGTCTGCATGGCGACGTACTCATGCAGAAGCTGTCGGGTTTTTTTGGCAAAGACGAATTTGCCGCACCAAAGTTAAAACGCTTTGTCTGCAGTTCGGTTGTGCGCAGTGTATCTCACAAGACTTCAGATTTCACTGCTTTGAACTCCTCATCAAGTCAGATCTTACTAAACTGTCAGGAATAGTAGGATTTTGAAGTTTTGAGCGGTTTTCCGCTCGGTCGAAGTGGTTAGAGCGAGTCATGATCAGACGGAGTGCACAACCGAACTGCAGACATTTTAGGAAAAAAGGCGTCCACAGCGGAACCAGAATCCTCAGAGTTGCGATGACGTACAAGCTATGCGCACGAGTCTATCGTTGTACAAGCGACGTGCTGAGCACGCGACAGAGCTTTTCGGGCATTAGGACTCAATTTCTGCGGTTCAAAAACTCGTCTACCTGGAGGTGAGGTTGGGGTTCGTTTATCAATATCAGGGACTAAGCAATGTTGACTCAAGCGCCTTTCGCTGTATTCATTGCAAAGGCTCGGCAAAGCCTAGAATCTTCATCCGAGTCAAACATGTGCTTCAAAATTCAGTGAAAAAGCAGTTTTTTGCAAATGATGTGACTTATTATGCATTTTAGAGCAAAAAATGCAGTACGAATCTTCTTTTTGAAAGGCGACTCCTTCCAAGTGTAACAAATGTTTCATATTTTGATGTTGTATATGTACAAAAAATTTGAGGTTCACAAAACTCAGTAATGATTGAAAATGAGAGGTGGCTTTATAGCTGTGACCAACCTTCGGAACCCGTTTTTTCAAATTTTTCAGTTTTTCTCCCTCCAAAATCCATGAAATTGGAAGCCGTTCTGGTCAATGGTATGACGTTAGTTTGCGCACAAAATAGTGGTTTTCAGACAATTATGAGCAAGAGAGAGCAAATTACGGTGATTTTTAGAGTGGCTTTATAGCTATGGCCAGCACTGTACAGTCGAATCATTTCGTATGATCATGTATGTCACTGCACATATTGCACACCTTTGGCGTCCTCATCCTGGACTTTAGGAACAGATAGCCCTTCTGCCGAGAGTTTCCGATGTTTTCTTCAAGCTTTTTCTCCTTTTTAATAATCTTATATATAAAGCTGAATGTCTGTTTGTCTGTCTGTATGTCTGCCTGTACGTATGTTCCGAATAGAAAATTCCATTTCTGAACCGATCGGGACCAAACTTGGGGGTGATCAGCATGCTCGATTACACCCCTCTGCCAAATTCCAGCCCCTTAGCTCAAATTTTGCAAAAAATCGATAAAATCGACATCGATCGATAACGAAAAGTGGACTGTGACACCCGCCGGGGCCCGAAGTGTATGTGTGCCAAGTGGTCCGGATCGGTTAAGAAATGGAATTTTCTATTCGGAACATACGGCGGAGCCGGGTAAGCCAGCTAGTCTATTCATACTAATCTTCTCAAAACGATGTAAGCGATAACAAGCGGTCGCTCTCTTGCGTTTTTGCGATTGCAATTCCAGGATGGGGACGCCAGATATGAACAATGTGTGCAGTGACACACATGGTCATATGAAATGATTCGACTATAATTATCAATGGAAGGCAGACTCGTCCCTTACTAGAGCGCTTTCGTCCCTTACTCAGATAATCGCTGGGGGCAGGCGGGCACCGGAAAAATAGTTTGCTTATCTCTCGCACCCCGCTCGCGGATTTTTTGCAAAGCAATCAGGACTTTTCGGAAGACCGCTTGCTGAATTCTCGATTCCTCAGAGATTCAGCAATATATCTGCAAAAGACAAAAGCGAAAAAAATTCAACAGGCGGTCTCTCAAAAATCCGCTGACTCAGCGAGCGGTCTTCCGAAAAGTCCCGATTGCTTTGCAAAAAATCCACGAGCGGGGTGCGAGAAATCAGCAATCTATTTTTCCGGTGCCCGCCTGCCCCCCGCGATTATCTGAGTACTAGAGCAGCTTCGCCCGGCCCTGTCAATAATGTTTTCATAATCAGCATAATCGTGATTCATAATTTTCATAATCGTGTACCACTATTTCAGGCGAATGGCTGTTGTTTTGCTATAGCCGATCTTCCCCAACAGTTTTGAACTATATGCGCTACAAACTAACTCTTTGTACTGTAGAACCCTTTCTGTTAAAAGTTTTTTTTTCAGGAAAATGAAAGGAATTCCTTTTGACTTACTATCCGTCTTCAAACCAACAAAGCATTTTGGCCTTTATGGCCTCGGACAGAGTTCACGCAATTTGATCGTCGCGATTCAATCGCTACAAGACAATGTTACGAGTTCTCTAAAATTCTAACAGAGTACTGGAAGCAATTCTTATAATCAGTCATTTGATACCGCCTATGCTGGTCGACAATTTAGCCTAGAAAAAGCAACTTCACCCATGTCAGACGATGTACAGTGCTTCTAAGTCTCTTACTCTCAGAATATGAACAAGATTCTACTGAACAAAAAGAAATTCAGAGTTATTCTTCGACATCGGTATCTTCAAACTCGAATAATCGAGGAAACGAGGTTTTGAATAAAATTCGAAACTCGATCAATCAAAAAACACATTTTGAATAAAATTCGAAAACTCGAATGATTAAAAACGGGATTTCAAATAGATTTTATTCGAATGTTTTATTCAAATGTTTATTCGAATTCGTATTCGAATGAATTCCGTGTTAAGATTTTTCGAGTTTGTTGCAGAGCCTACTCCAAACTCGGGTAATCAAACCTCACACCTCTGCCATTTAGAGTGTTACTTTTGCTCGGCGTACGCCCGAAAGTCCGTAACAAGAGCAAAACGCTCGCTGAAAATTTGGCCAACGCTTGCTGAAAGAAATTATTTGACGACAATTCGCAGAAAATTCTGTATTGCTGCCCGCTGGCAGAATATGCGACAGCAAAGGAACTACCGCCAAAAGGGTTGGCCACGTTCCAAATTTCTGTTGAGTGCCTGCAAGAAAACACGAGTCTGGAATCCGCCTACCACCGACGATTTTCTAAGTACAAGTAATTACTGTTATCTAAATCCGAATGTCCGTTTGTTTGTATGTCTGTCTGTATGTCTGTGTGTACATATGTTCCGAATATAAAATTCCATTTCTGAACCGATCCGGACCAAACTTGGCACACATACACTTCGGGGCCGGGCGCGTGTCATAGGCTACTTTTCATCATCGATCGATATCGATTTTATCGATTTTATCGATTTCTTTGCAATTGAGCTACAGGGCTGGGAGTTGGCATAGGGGGGTAAGTGGGCATGGCGATTCCGAAAACAATATTAGTTTTCAGAATTATCGATTACTTTTATTGATTTTATCGATTTTTGCAGAGTTTGAGCTACAGGGCTGGGAGTTGGCACATGGGGTAAGAGGGCATGGCAATTCCGAATACAATATTAGTTTTCAGAATTATCGATTGCTTCTATCGATTTTATCGATTTTTTGCAAAGTTCGAGCCCCCCGTGGGGGTGAACCCCCCGTGGGGGTGATCAGCATGCTCGATTACACCCCTCTGCCAAATTCCAGCCCCCTAGCTCAAATTTTGCAAAAAATCTAAAATCGATATCGATCAATTACGAAAAGTAGCCTATGACGCCCGCCCGGCCCCGAAGTGTATGTGTGCCAAGTTTGGTCCGGATCGGTTGAGAAATGGAATTTTCTATTCGGATACGGCGGAGCCGGGTAAGCCAGCTAGTAAATATATAAAAGTCAAAGTGTTTATGTTTGTGTAAATTTGCTCGGAATATATTCTTGTTGGATGGAAACGATCACCGATCTACAATATTTGATGGCGGGAAAAGAAGAGGCCGATATGACCTCTCAGCAGGGCATAAAAGGGGAAGAGAGAGGGGAGCCGCGAGCAGAGGAGGCTCGCGGGAGTCGAAAACTGGTCAGGAGAGAGCCAGACCTTCCCACGTGAGAACTTACCGAGA